TGTATTGAGATTCAGTAAAGCAGAGATAATTCATCACTAAAATAGAGGCCAATGAACAATTTATTCATTCCTTTTATATTTATTTAGATGTTCAATGGTATCTGATTCATTGATTACTCTTTGTATTACATAACTTGGTTTTTGCTCAATATCTTTTCATTTTGTTTTTAACATAACAGTAAAATGGAATTATATCTCAGAAGAACATGATTAGCAACAGAACGACAAAGCCTCTTTCAAGACCAAGCTGAATCAAGAGGATCACTTAATAGACAAAGGTATCTGAGTGTCTCACATGAAAGGTTTGAACCAATAAGACTGCAATCTAAGAAATGCAGGAGTAAAGGAACTGATTAATTAAAAGGTTCATTTTGTTCAGGAGCTAATTTTATCTAAATGCAGATAAATATTTTATTTGTATAGATTAATAAAACCATGAAGGGGAAGTAATCACTCATAAATTTACTCACTACAGATGGGACAGTAAATATTTTTAAAATATTCAGTGGCACAAATTGGTTTTAGGAAATGATATCAAAGTATAGTGTAATGATGGTGAGTAAATTTATTATCTCTTAATTGGAATTAAAGGATTCAAATGTTTGAGAAACTTTTTTTTTTGTGATCTTTATTAAAAAAAATTAGTTTCTTTCCACTAAGTTAAGATCAGGCAAAATATTTTTTTAAAGAAAGAAATGAAAATAAATAATGGGGAGTATTATTGTTGCTAATAAAGTGAAAATTCAAACATTTTAAATGACATAATGGAAAGTTTCCATCTCTGATTATTATGGTTATATCAGGATATTTTAAAAATGTATATATGAATTGGTTAATCACTCTAGTATAATTGCTGAAATCTATTAGTTATTTAAAATGCTCTGAAAAATATTTTAACAGGAAAGTAAAATTTAGTAATAATGATAAAAAGAAGGTTAACAAAAAAATAACATTACTGTAAAGTGGTAATATCAACATGCAGAACAACATTGGAACTAAATTGAGGATGAGAAATGTAGACAGTAAAAGAAAGATCAAATATATATAACGAGTAAAGGCTAATTGTAATTAAGGCTAATAACCACTCCTGCTGCAGAATGGTAGGGGATGTGCAGGTAGTGTTATGGTTAGTGGCTCAGAATGAGAAATATGAGGTTTCCAGGTTCAAATTCCAGTCGAGTTAGTTATGTTCACTTATGCACAAATACTTTTGGGGAAGCTATGGGTTTAAGTAGGAAAATCTTTTTTTTTAGCAAATATTGCATTAACAATTTTCTTTGAGATAATAATGATTATTATAATCTAAAATATGTCTCAGCCTTAAATAAACCACAAAGGATTGATGAGTTATAAAAAAAAAACAAATTTTATCAACCTCTATGATAAAGACAGAACTGGGCCAAATGGATCACTGTATAGTATAGTAAGAACATCTTGTTTCAGAAATAAAGGTTGAAGAGTACATTGGTCAGAACGTGATAAATAGTACAAAAGAACGGGATATCTAAATATTTTGAATGCAATTGCATGCCTTCAACTACAGATAAAATTTGTTTTTGGTCATTCTACTATAAAAGATATATCTGGTCATTTTACTATAAAAAATGTATTTTTATACATTCATAAAGTTTTGGGGTTCATTATTTGCCAATATTTGGGATCTTAACAAGTGCTACCACTCTGGATCAAGGTGTACTGGGGAACAACAGCAATTAAGAGGTGGTTCCATGCTCTTCAAATGGCTCAGTCCTATGTCCTTACCATGCTAGTCAGTACTGCCACCAGTCAGTAATGGTTATCTGCTTGCTGCTTCATTCTTTCATCTGCCCTGTCCCACGTATTCCTGGATCCTAGAGCAAAGAATCAAGCTGCAACAGAACCATGCTACAAAAGGACAAATACACATAATATAATAAAATAATAAAGAAGGTTGCTGGGTTAATTTTCAATTGGTTTATATTTTCTTTGATACAACAAAATTAACTTTTCCCATCATGACACTCTTTCTTCTAGAACTTGGGGCAGGTTAAAAACATACAACAAAGAAATAGGTCAGTCGGGAACTTCAGGACTCATCAATATTCATGTCAATTAATTATTTTCTCCAACCCTCAAACAAAATGGTTAGTTATTCAAAACAATACATTCTCTGACAACAATAATTTTCCAATAACAAACTTTTGTGTTAAAAAATTATTTCTATTTTTCTGATATCAAAGAATTTTTACATTCCTCATGACATATTTTAGATTGCTTACATTCTGGCTTTGCAGATTCATAACAATTGTTTGTCCATCAGTTTGTCAAGAAAAAAACATTTCTTTTTTCCCTTGCTCCATATTTCAATTCATGTTTTCACTTTAATGATTTTAATGTTTTTTAAACCTTTCCAATTCTCCAATTCCTATACAGAGGTTTTCACATGAACCCTTTTAATCCTAATTTCTTACTACCAGTATCACAATAGTGTCACACTCACAGTTTGTTGGGTTGCAGTGATAAGTCAATATATTATAATGACGAGAAGTATATAGGAATGGAGAATGGAATGAGAGGTGTACAATGTAACAAGTTTATTCACTAACTGACTATACAGCAGAAAAATAAAGCAAGTATTTTCCCTTTTTTTAGTGTTCCTTAGAAAGGGAGATAACTAATAACTTATAAGCAGACCAAGTCTACCTTGATGATACAAAACAACTCATTCTTCAATTATAATTCTACAAAACTGCACCAGCTTCTAAATATTTACCACAAATAAGAATCATTTTGCAACTCCTCCTATTCAACAAATGGATGCTCCTGCAACTATATTGACCTATCAACCCCTGAATAGGTCAACAAAATATGACCACACTTTGTGAACATTGCTGACACATTCCACTCTCTATCAAGGATTTTTATAATGTCACCTATTGCAGTAAGTCCCCACTGTTCTTATAAGCATTCTTTTTTACCTAGCTTAATTTCTTAAGGTGCTTAAAAATATTTTGAAGAACTTGTACATCTTCTTTTCACATTAATTTTTGTAAATAATAAACAATTTGTTTCATTTTTACACTGAGTAAGTGTTTTTTTATTGTCTGCTTAGGTTATTAATAATTGTTTTGTATATGGGACAAATACTCATATAAGTATGACTGAAAATAAATATATCACTTGAGTTCAACATAGGAGTCTAGTTAAGTCACTATATATATATATTTAAAAATAGTACATGAGTTTTCTTTTTTTATAGCTTATTTTATTTATCATAATTTATTTTAATTATCACAATTTCATAAATACATTATATAATTGATTAATTCAATATTTTAAATGTCAAACACTTTAAAAATAGAATGCTACTTTTAACAGAATGATTAATATTTGTAAGGGAAGCCGGAGTTACCAACTGTTGTAGAATCAAGTTAAAATAATAGAGAAACCATTGGATAATAAAATATGTACAAGGTTTACAACATAAGCTTTATGTTCTAAAATCCCCATGCTGACTTAGGGAGGTCAAACACAGAAATAAACATGAAACCCTTGCATAGGCCCTGGTAAAAGTCAGTTGTAGATATGAATCAGCCCACAAAGAAGAAAAAGGTATTTAAAAATATAAGATATTTTTATCTTTATGTTTTTTTTACACCTAAATTTTTCTTAGCATGTGTGAGTGTTAAAGTTCTTATATTTGTCAGGATACAGTCCTTTTTTGTTTTTCAAGATGGAAATAAATAAATAAATGTGATTTCTTCATGTGTAAGAAAGAAGAGATAAGGGAGAAAGTGAGGAGGAAAGTGTAAGTGTCCCGTAGCTTGGTGAGGAGGATGAGTTTAAGTTGAGTGTCATGATCTGTTGCTTGTCTCTACTTCTGTTTTGTCTGGAAACTTTACTTAAATACCAATCAATGGGATTATAAAGCATGTTTTTTTATTGCTGACAAGAATGTGACATGTTGGTTGAAAAATGTTAACTATCATATTTTTGAAGCATTCATTTTGTAACTGGAACAATGGGAAATTCTCTGATTTGTAAACCATTATTTGGTGTTTGACTGTCTTGGTGTTTATTTCCATTTTCGATCCACAATATACTCTGGTTCAGTGAAAAAAACAAAACCAGTATTATAAGAGCAAATTAACTAAGAGGAAGAATGAATTCTGATATAAGAAAAGGAATGTTATGAGAACTTCCCAGAAAGTTATCAAATTGTTTGAAGGCTGAAATGTTGTCTCTACAAGAAGAAACAGACCAGTGTAACAAGAAAAGAATTGATTTCATTTGTTGCATATGTCATTTTTTGATGACAAATCCCTTTTTTAAGCAATCAAAATCATAATACTTCATTTAGTTAATTATTAAAATAATTTTTAGCAATAACAGTTGAATTAATCCTAATAGACTTCTGCAGTCATAATGACAATGCATTGTCATGAATGATTTTGATTGAAGATCTTAGCTAGGCAGTTTAACATGGATTTGGGCTACTAAGAAGCATATTTAGTGAATAAGTCTGACTGTTTGAGGAACACTAATGTCATACTTCTCAACCACAAAAGTCACAAACAAACTTACATTTCAGTTTCAGACACTAGGATGCTATTTAACCAGTTTATACTCTTCAGCCTGTCAAATATGTAAAATGGCCAACGCAATCAGATTGCCATTTTCGATAATGAAAAGAAATGCTGTTAGTATTTCAATGCGTAGGTTCTGTGAAATCTAATATTTCTAGTAATCAAATTTTATGATGACTCTGATCTTCCGTACAAGAATCTTCCTCGCTTTCTGAGCAGCAATGTTCAGGGGAGACAATTAGAAAACTCTAATCTTCTATTGATCGTAGTCATTTCTTTTTAAGAAGACACGCTATCGACACAAAAATGACACGATTTGTAATTTTTTTAATTTTAATCATTGTGATTATATACGTACAAGCACAAGGTGGCAAATATTCAAAGGAAAGAAATAATGCACAGATTAATGATCCCCTTGAAGGAAGACAGTTTCGAATGATCAAGATTCAACAACTTTGGGAAAAAGCGAAAAAGGTAAGAAGAATGATGTCGTTGAAAATAAACAAACAAAACAAAAAGTTATTTTTCTTTTCTTTTATAATATTATTTAGCGATATGAAAATATATTTTTGTAAAATTTATTCACTCGAAATCGGTATTGGAAGAAAAAGTGCCTAGATTTTTACTCTTTAAAAAATTAATTGTGGGCGTAATCTTTTTTCTTACCCATCACCTAATCCTTGTTTCTTTCATCTTACTTTATTTGAAGCAAAGAAAATTTATTTAAGATGCATAAATAAGCATTTAAGGCTTATTTTGTAAAATATTTAAATGATTGGGCTTTAAAAAAATTTGATTATAATTTTTAGATTTATAATATTTTCTTTTTGTGTCGTTAATTCTTTTGATCCCTTTTTAGTTTTTATTGTTTTACGTGTTTTAAATTGTTTATGTTGTTATTGTAATGAGGTTTTTTATAATTAAAATCAAAACAACAATTCTTCGTATTAAATTTATTCAATATAATAAATTTTTAAGAACAATTTTTGACAATTTTTAAAACTTTTCTGAAAATAAAAGTTTGAACCACGTTACAAAACAGACTAACCACTAAAAATGTTTTCTATTTGGAAGTTTGTCGCACCATAATCTTCTTAATCTTAATCCATTTTTGATCTTGTATCGTATTAAACTTAGTTTTATCGAGATAGTTTTGTTTTAAACCATGAAAAAAAGGTTAATGATGCTGCCAAAAGTTTAAAAACTGACGTAGCTAATCGTAAGTAAATGAAAAATGTGCCTTGTTAAACGAAACCCCACCTCCATTTTTAGTGGGTGTCAATTCCGATGAAGATAGATACACACACACACACACACGGATACTTTTTAAAACGATCACAGCCTCTGTAATGAATGAGTTAAACAAAAATGCCATAAAATTTGTTTGTATTTTAGTTTTATATTTATTTTTTGTGGAAAATTTGACTAAAATAACAAATTATTGATTTGTAAATTATTGGAATCTTTTTATTGATAAATTGATTTACTAGTGTTGGGGGGAGGTAACAATAACATCATTGTAAATAATAAGTGGGTGTATCAGATGTAAAAGTAAAAAAATTACCAAGATTTACTAAAAAAAGAAATGTTTTTAAAATAATTTAATTTATTTGTGAATAAGTCCTGAAAGTTTCATTAAAATCCGACAATTATTTGATTTTTGCAAGAATTTCCAAATCAATGTTTGTCACTGAAAAAAAAAAACCGCTAACATTTCCCATAATTTATGACTCAAGAAAAAAGAAATTTTAACCAAAATTTTTGAAGGTTCTAAAAAGGATTAAAAAATATAATTTAATAATCAAAAAATACTTTGGTCTTACATAAAAACTTTGTTTTTATTAATGTTAGAGCTTTTTTTCATCATAGTATGCTCATTTTTTAGTTAATCTTTGGAGGTACCCCCTTATAAAGTTATAAATTAAGTTAATTATTAAAATCTTCAAGTTAAAAATATTTGAATTCAGACAAACCTTGGGGGGGGGGGAATGAAAGATAAAGTATTTTTGATATGACAATCAAAATCTTCTTACATGGAGTATAACTCAAATATAATTACTTTGACAATCATGCTGAAAACACTGGTTCTTGTTTGGGAACCTAATCAAGCAGCATTGAACTCAGTCAATACTTATAACGGGTACTGTTTGGAAACACTGGGTACTGAAAGTAACCTTCTGCAATCTGAAATATGTTTTGGCTTTAAAATAAGCCAAAATAAGTTGATATGCCGTCATGCTTGCTTAATAGTCATGAAATATAAAACAATCTGAGTATCATGAGAAAAGCAGTAAAAATAAGATGAAAAAAATGAATTATAAAGATGCTACATCTAAGAAATTTAAACAACTTAAAACTTATTTCTAGGTACATAGAAGAAGCAAAAATGTAAAAAAAAAAATCATAATAATGACAACGCTTCATTCAAGAAATTGGGACAACTTAGGACTATCAGATTTCTGAGTTTCAAAATTTTCTGCCTATATTTCATAATAAATGATTCAACTTTTTAACGATTTGAAAACTACCTGCACATATTTTATTTTACTTAAGAAATATTTGGGCAACTTTTTAAATGCTTTTGCAGATAAATACTCTATAAATGAATATGTGCAGTTTACATCTTTTTCAACCATTAGCAGCAACTTAGTTAAGCATTCAGAATTTGTAAAGAAAGCTATGGCCACATTGATTTTTCATGTGAAATTTTACTTACAATTGAAAATATTGACCATTTTAGAGAAATCATTAGTTATTACTATCCTCATTGATATAAATTTTGAGATATGTTAAACATGCTGATTTATTTATGTGTTAGATCAAAATTTTGCATTAGATAACAAGCATTCTCTTGTAAGAAATTTTTTAAATGTTGATTTTCAATTATTTTCTCTTTTCTTTCCTAGCGTTTATCAGGTACACGACTGGCTGATTGTTATGCAGAGCTAAAAGTACAGGATAAAATGCATTATGACTTGAAGAGATTGAAGCATAAAGATCCAGAAAAAGGTGAACTGAAAGATCTAGGTGTGCAGGAACAATTACAATGTGAGTATTTAGATGCAAGTGTTGAAAAATAACAAAGAATTGTGTCTGTCTCACAATAGGAGACACTAAGTGAGATTGTTGCATGTAACAGTAAACATGTAAATAGGAGTAGATATGTTTGCCTCTCATCTGGTTCACACTCCTTCTTGGTCTTTTGAACAGGAGTAGAAGTTTATTCCTTGTTTTCTGTTTATGATTGGATTTCTGGTTCCTTCTAAAGTCTACTTCAACCCTATGCTTCTAATGCCTCTGCATAAACTCTTAAATTTTATTTACTATTTATTTATTTTTTCTTCAGGAGTAGATAGGTTTGCCTATTGTCCAGTTCATATTCCTTCCAACTCTTTTGAACAGGAGTAAAGATTTATTCCTTGTTTCTTGCTTAAGATTCCAGTTCCTTCTAAAGTTTTCTCATTCTTTTTCACTTCCAGTAGCACCTTGAGTCTTAGTGGCATTATCACCTTGCTTGAAGTGAATTGATTTTTTTTTTTAAACCCAGAAAAAGCAAATTCTAGAAAGTGCATAATACTGTACCAATATATAGACTATAGTTGTTCTTATTTTCTACAATGTTGATGCCAGTCAACCTATGATTGAGATCTTAACAAATCATTTTTATTTCATAAGCAATGTAATTATAATAAAAACATTCATTAATTTGTTTAAATTCAAAATCTAGTTTAGTAGTTAGATTAACTAATTTTAGTAATTGATTCTATCTCAAAGACAGAGACGCTATAAAAGAGGTAGACAAGATATGATAATATGCTAAACTGAATCTTTGTAATGTGAAATAGAAAAAAGGACTAAATAATTGGGAGACAATATTTTTTGTCTTTTTTATTGGAAAATGATGAAAAAAACATTGTTTTCTGTTCCATAAGCATTGCTCAATTAAGCCAATGTCCCTGTTCAAAAAGTTACAGGAAATTGTATTTATTTAATGTTGATGAAAATTCTTTTGTTCTTCATTATTAGGCCCACTTTTTGTCATGAATGTTATCATTAGAAAAGAAGTATATAATATAAAATACATTGGTTTATCATTTGATCCATATATTCCATATATAAAAAGGAGCCAGTTAACTGTAAATTATTTCTAAGTTAACTCTTGCTTCACCATAAAATATAGAAGGCTTATGGCCATATCACATTGAAACATTGGTTCCTGTACGATCACCAAAGTTAAGCAATGTCAAACCTGGCCAGTACCTAGATGGGTGACCATTTGGAAATACCAGGCTCTATAAGCTTCAATGTAAAGGTGATGTAATGGATAATGACTTGGAATTGTTAATAGGAGAGCCAAGTTCTAATTTAAGTTTCTTTTTTATATTCATTTATATGCAAATACTCTTGTGAAACGTATGAATCCACCTCTTTTCTCCACTTTTCATTAAAAGCAATTAAAACCTAAAAAGCTACCTTGGTAAATATCATGTTACTATTTTCCTTGGTAAATTTTTAGTTAAATTTTATTTTTTTTTTAAATTCTAACAAAAGGTGAGTGTCATTCATTGTAAAAATTAATCTAACATCTATAACTTGTTGTGCATGTTTAAGAGTAAAACAAGCCATTATTAAAAGGATTAGCTATATCAATTCTGTCAGCCAATCTCCTCAAAATCACAATACAGACTATAATAAATATTGTATTTATTAGCATATTGCTTCTTGAAGCAGCCCTTGTCTTTTATTTATTTAACCATTAAGATATATGAGATCTGTCTGGAAAGTATTGCATCCATTTAATATTAACAAAAATATAGTCTACTTTGGACAATATTTCCATAGTCCTTCTCCAAAGTATTCTCATTGAAAATTCACTCAATTATCCCAATACATCTTCCACTTACCAAAACAGTTTGCAAAGTCCTCTTTTGCATTCTCTTTAATCTCCATAAAATCTCCCTTTCAATGACAGTTTTAGCTTTAGGAGAAGCCTCAAGTTATATCGAGCCAAATCTGTACTGTATGGTGGGACTGAAACACCTAGGTGATGTGATGTCTGGCTAAGAAAAACCCTGCATCAGACATGCAGAATGGGCAGACACATTATCATGATGAAAGCAATGGTCACATAGTACATAACTCACTTAATGGTGCCTCACTGCCAACTGAGTAATACTAAGGGAGAGTTTCTGTTTATGCATGCACTGTAAGGTCCCTTCTGATTAATTACCAGGTTTTATCAAGGCCACATAGCCAGCTCTCAAGATATTCAAAATGATACATTTTGGATTGATTTTGTATTTATTAAATTTACCTTAATACAATATTCATGTAAGGTATACTCTGATTTGTTGCTAAAATCAAGGTTGGTCAACAGTTTCTTTTTTGTTAGGTATTCAAAATAACCAGGTACTTTCCAGGCATTTATCAAAGCACTAGATAAATTTGTATATATTGATATAACTTTGCTAAATCACAAAGAATGCTTTAGCTTGTAGCTGCAGAAATGTTTAGTAGTAGTAAACAATTTTTAATATATCAGTGTATTTTTATGATGAAAAAGATGACATTTAAGCTTGCTGATATTCAGGTGACAAATTCACTGGTTAGCTTTGATAGAAAAGTCATGAGAACAAAATATTCACCACTAACCAACTTGTGTAAATAATCTTGAGGCAGCAGCTGTTGCAAGTAAAACTAGCAAAATATAGTTTTACATGTGTGGAACAGACATGTATTGGGTTGACCATAAAGTTTTCTTCCTTCAGTGAAAACAGAAGACAAATAGTTTATTTACATATCAACTTTATTGAACAATAATATATTTACTGTTTTGTTCATTTATCTTCTGCCATCTTTTAGGTAACTTCATAATTTAATTCTCTAAGAACTTTTAACCCTTCCCAGCAAAGAACTGCACAAGGTGACTTTTTTCACACTTCTTGTGAATTGAAATTTATTTTATAAAGGGAAATCTGTAAAAATTGGATTAAATGGCAATCTGGTATATAGGATGCATAGAGGAACCAATTTTTCGTTTTAAATTTTCCTTAATTCCATCTCAAGTTTTAGGGAATTCCATATTTTTTTCTGTTTTCAGTGTATATTCCTATTTTTGCTTCATTATAATACCTAGGGAGAAAGTGTAACAGTATGTAAATGTTATTAAAACAAAAAAATAAAAAGGCAAATGAAAAATTTTACTAGCTTGAATATAAGTTCTCCAGCTTGATAGGGTTTCATACCCTTAATCTAACTTGATGAGTTTCTGAGACTATCCTTGCAAAAAATGCTACAACCCTAAATAAGAATTAAGTAAAAGTGAAAAAACCTACTGAAAAGTAGCATCCCAAAGTCATCTAGAGACAAAAAGCTACATTATTTTTTAGTCACTTTATTTAAATTATTAAATAACATTTTTGAAAATGTCTAATTCATAAAATTTGGCTTTCTGAAATGACAAATTACCCCCACCTCCATCACCATGTGTGATAGGAGAAAGAAAGGATAAAATAAAGACAATTTTTTGTTCCCCCTCCATTACCTCTCAACTTTGTAAAGCTTGGTTCTTAAATACTGTAAACTGTAGGAAAACAGTAGGTAAGGGGGATGTATTAAAATGTTACTGATTTTATCTTTTGATGTCTGTTGGAAATGCAAACATAGTAACAAATTAAAATGGCAGTTGTCAAATCTGATTGTTGAAAAAAAAACTTACTATTTCAAAATCGCAATTTTCCATTTCAAGTAGGCCATTCCATTTTTCTGTCTGTTTTTCTGTTTTCATGTTAAAATAAGCCCCTCTAGATGCAAAACTTTACTTTCAAACTGAATTTTTGCCTGGTCACAAAATAAACGTGCATTTTAGACACTTTTCATCAACTGCTGTTTTTAGTTGGTCTAAATAAGAACAATACCTTTCAAATCAGTTATTTGCTTTTCTAGAATACACTCATGGTAAAGAATTCCCAATCTCACCATATACTTTCTATAAAAGCTGGCCTTTGATATGATTACTGAGAGTTCATTTCACTTGCCCCATAATTTCTTGTATTCCATGTTATAAGATATACAGCTTGATGAAGGAGGGCTCTGTCATGTTACCTTGCTTTAAATACACCCACTGCTTCTATGGTTGCTGTATATAAGCGCCACTAATGGGTGATGAAAATCATGCATAAAGTATCAACTTTTCTTCCACACTCAAAATTTCTTTTAAAAATGGAAAATTCTTGTTAAGTAGCAAAATATAAATAACAGTCCACTAGATTTTCATGACTTATTTCAATGTAAACAATTCAAATAAAAACTTTTAAAGTGACTCCCCGATCCAAGAACTTGATCAAAAGTAAGTAATATTTAAGTGGGTGCAAGGAAATTGTTACATAGGTACTGTTAGAGGGTGTTACTTACTTTCCCTTATAAAGGACGATAACTCAAAATACAATGGAGTTATATCCCTTGTTCGCTAGTTGGAACATGTTACTTCTGAATTTAACATGGTGATAAGCTGACACGGATGTGGAACCCATGGTTTATATCCAAGCAATCATTGCTGTTCTCAGGTAGTAAATAAATAAGTTATTTTATTATATGTTAAAATACATTTGTCTTGTATTTTCATTCATTTTTGTTCATCCCAACAACCTGAGATATAACAAATTTTTGGCAATGAAGACTGAAACTTCAAAATCAACATGGCAATTTCCCCAGAGATGCTTATGGAGATTTTACACCAACAGCAAGAACTTTTTCAGAAGTCACAACAAAGTAACAGCAGTTATTGACAGCAATGACTGCACAGTTCCAGAATCAACTTGAAATTTTCCACACTGGAACAAACCAAAATACCAATTCAATGGCTATCTTGGCCAACAACATCACAGAATTCCACTATGATCCAGCGAGTGGAAAAACATTAGCTTTGTGGTTTAAATATTGGATGGATACTTTTCACACTGATTTTTCTCACAAATATGAAAAATGGAAAATTCATCTCCTAATTCATAAACTGGGCACTAAGAAACATATGAATTATATTTTACCAATGCAGGCAACAGATTTCACCTTCACTGAAACAGTGGAAGGACTCTGTGAAGTATTCAGAGAAAAACATTCTTTGTTTAATATTTAATTAAATTGTTTAAAGTTAACAAAAGATGATGCTAACGATTATGTTACATTTGCTTGTCATGTCAATTGGGAATGCGAAAAAATTTAAATTAAATTCCCTCACAGAGGAACAGTTTAAATGTTTGATCTTTATTGCATGATTAAAATCTGAAGGAGGTCAGAGCGTACAACGACCGAAACATTGTGATAAATATGGCAACAAAGATGAGGACAATAGTTTGAATAATGTAAATAGTGTACATAATACCTCATCTCAGAAATATAGACAAATATATTGTTGTTTCTGTAAACAATAAATCAATTTGTTTCCAGTTTGATACAGTGTCAGACATTCGACTTGAGAATGAATTGAAAAACCATGTGCATACATATCAATGAGCCTACCTGGAAGTAGAATCATTTAACTTGTGATGTTTCCTTTTGAAATAGAACATTTCTGGTGTGTGTTATGTTGCAGATAATTTGGAATTAAATTTAATTTGTCTTCACTGGATAGAAAAACTTAAGCTTTTTGAAATTCCTCTCAAATCAGTGTTCAATACATTTAACCTCATGTCAGTTTCTGATATTGAAAATCAATTCACAGATGAACTTAAAACTCAGTTTAGTGATATTTTTCAAGATGGACTTGGGTGCTACTCTGAAATTAAAACCAGATTCTAAGCCACTTTTTAGACAAAAAGAAAGGCCAGTATTCTATCTGAATATGGTTGAAAAAGAACTGAAATGTCTTCAGTAAAAAGGTGTAATAGAGTCTGTAAATTACTCTGCATGGGGAGCTCCATTGTAATTGTTAAAAAGGCAACTGGAAAAGTTAAGATATGTGCTGATTACTTGACTGGTTTGAATGATTCTTTGGATGCACATCAATATCCACTTCCAGTGCCAGAGGATCTTTTCACAAAACTCAATAGTGGAATTTGCTTTGCAAAGGTTGATCTTTCTGATGCTTTTCTTCAACTGGAAGTTGACAAAGAGTCCAAAGAGCTCCTTACAATCAACACCCACAAGGGAATATTCAAATTTAACCGTATTAGCTTTGATGTCAAACCAGCACCAGGCATTTTTCAACAGACAATGGACACCATGCTGACTGGATTGACAGATGTTGCAGAATTCATCAATGGCATCATTGTTGCAGGTGCAGCTCAAGATGAACTTTTGCAACATTTATTTTCTGTTTTCAGCCAAATTCAACAATGTGGATTCCATGTTAAAGTTGAAAAGTGTTCATTTTTGCAAGAAAAAATAAAATATCTTGGGTTTATTTTTGACAAAAAAGGTAGATGAACAGACTCGGAAAATATCTCAGCAATAAAAAAAAACATGCCAGCACTGACAAATGTAACAAAATTACATTCTTTCCTTGCTAGGTTAACCACTACAGTGCTTTTTTGCCTGAACTTCATTGAGTTTGTGTACCCCTCAACAATCTTTTGACATGTGTCAGGTAGTCTTCAAAAAGGTAAAGTCCTTACTTTCTTTCAATCTTTTGCTGACACACTACAACCTATCCATGGATATTGTGGTGGTCTCTGATGCTTTTAATTATGATATTGGTGCTGTCATTTCTCATATTTTCCCAGATGGCAGCCAAAAGGCAATAGCTCATGCATCCAGATCAGTGACACCAGCAGAGTGTAATTATAGCCAAATTGAAAAAGAAGCATTAGCAATTGTCTTTGCTATTAAAAAGTTCCACAAAATGCTGTACGGACATCATTTCACTCTGATCACAGATCATGAGCCTCTTTTTGTATTTTTGAATCTAAAAAAGGCATCCAAGTATATACAGTAAACCATCTGCAAAGATGGGTTACTATGCTGTTAGATTATAATTTTTCTATAAAATATAATTCAGCAGTTCATGCTGATGGATTATCTAGGCTTGTGACTGCACAAAATAAAGTACCAGAAGACTCAGTCATTGCAACATTATCTCTAGAGCAAAAAGTCACTGCAGTGTTTGTATTCACTGTAAAAGCATTACCAGTCACTTCCACAATGATCCGTGAAGCCACAGCTTTTAATCCAGTGTTAAAAATCTGACATGCTTTCATTGTACAAAATGGCCAGAAGTACACGTTGACAAAAGAATTCTACCATTCTTTCAGTGTCACTCTTCATTGTCAGAAGTCAATGGCTGTCTTCTTTTTGCAGAATGCGTGATTGTCCCATCTTCATTACATGAACGTGTGATAAAGCAATTCCATTATGGTCATCAAGGTATTAGCCGTATGAAATCCCTAGCACATAGCTATGTTTAGTGGCCAAACATAGACAAGCAGTTGGAGAAATAGGTATGCACATGTTCCAATTGGCAGCAAAATCTCCCAGTAAAACTACACTCAGTTCCTGGACTATCCCTGAATCACCTTGGTCATGCATTCATGTTAACTTTACTGGAAACATCAAAGGGCAGTATTATTTTATCCTCGTTGATGATTAGAGCAAATGGCCAGAATTTTTTCAGATGAATTGCATCAACTTGGATGAAACAATTTTTAAGTTAACAGTCGATTTGGAGTCCCACAGATACTAGTTTCTGATAATAACACTGCATTCACTTCAGCTGCATTTTCAACTTACTGTGCACAGAATGGTATTCAACACATTAGGACACCACCTTTCATCCACAATCAGATGGACAAGTGGAGTGTTTTGTAGAAACATTTGAGAGAGCACTCCTCAAACCCAAAGGGGAGGGAACCACATAAAAAAATATTAAAAATATTCCTTGGAAGTTACAGAGCTAAACCTAATCCAAATGCACCTAATGGAAATTCACCAGCAGAAGCACTGATGAACTGTAAAGTTCATTTGCACATAGATGTTATCCATTCAACACAGTGATGGAAAAACAATTTAACTGTCATCATGAAATGCAAATATGTACCAGTCTGTATTTACAAAAGATTACAGCAACATTAAAGAAAAATGGATCCAAGAACGCATTATATGTTGCTCTGGAAATGTTACATATGATGTGGATATACAGTCTTCAGTTCGAGTTTGACCTGCAAACCAATTATGACCATCAAACCTTCCAGAAACCAAATTAAACTTCACTTCACTGCTGGACATTCTACTAGACACCTTTGAACTGCCTCAAAAAATTCCTAAGTAATGTCAAGAGACAAAAATAGAACTCCTGCAAAAGGTGCACCAAATAAGCCATACCAACTGCAATTAAATCCCTGACAAGTCATATGAGCACATGGCTAAAAAGGGGAGGTATTAGGGGGTGTTACTTACTCCCCCTTATAAAGTATGATAACTCAAAATACAATGGAGTTATGTCCCTTGTCCACTAGTTGGAACACAATACTTTTGAATTCAACATGGTGATAAGCTGACACGCACATGAAACTCATGGTTTATATCCAAATAATCCTTGCTGTTCTCAGGTAGTAAATGAATAAAAGTTATTTTATTATATGTTAAAATATACTTGTCTTTTCATCAATTTTTGTTCATCCCGACAACCTGAGATATTACTGGTACTTAGTCAAAATAGGTGAAAACATTATTTGGTACCCAAGTACAAACTGGAATTTCAAAATCAAACTGATTGTCTATATGTCTGATTCTTGATACACACCTGAGTATGAGCTTATTTGTTTAATGGGTTTGTCCCAAATACACCACCTACATGAGTGTTGGAATTACCCTCACTTTATCTGCCCAAATGACTTGTTAGGTGGCACTGTTTAAATGCTATAAAAAGACAAACATATCCTCTTTGTTTCTCTTTCTTTTGCTCTAAGATGTAGCAACACATAAATGAGAGCATCCCAGCTGAGGAAAAAATTCCTTTCCCCAGGTGACAGATAATCAAACTTTTACACACGCACACATACACACACTATTCTTAAATAACTAAGTTTTTAATGTCTTTTTTTTCCCTTTTAACCATGTACACACTAATGTAATTTTTTTATTCTTTTTAATACATAAATACATGAATGTTGAGGGGAGGAAAAACAAGGGCAAAGGTTGCTTTCATAATAGCAAGAGACTATCTTTTCATTTTTATGGTAGTTCTGGATGCAAACTGTTTATTATTGACAAGGATGCATAGATACCCATAATTAATTTATAGAAATTGTTTTGAAACTTTTATCATAATTTTTTTTTTTTTTTATAATTCTGTTTTCAGATATTATGGGCAAATATAATCTTGGTGAACATCCTGACGTGAAGAAATTAAATTTAGCCACCAAATCTGACCAGTTCTTAAATAAAGATTTAAAGAAACTATGGAAAAATGCACAGTATTCAGGATTTACTGGTAAGATGAATGAGACTTCTCAAGTTTCTATATTTAATCAAAGCAAAAGATCCTGAAATTTGCTTTAGTACTTTGTAATTTGTTTATATATTCAAATTGTGATTTATTTTATTCATAATTATAATGTTTATATGTTGTTATAAAAATAGCTGGAGACCACATTTTATTTTATTCATTAAAATAATGTATGTTTTACTCAGAACTTGTTAAATGGAAAATATTTTTCTTAGATGATTGTTTGAATTTCCATCAAATAACAAAAGTACTAAGAAGATGAAAATCTGAGGGCCAAGTAAATCTGCAATTTATCAACAGAAAAATAATCAGTTTCTTAAAACCATTCAATGCATTACTCTGGTTATTTTTTGAATTTGATACTTTGTGTATATAAAACAAGTTGTATTTAAAAAAATAATTTCTAAATATTATTATTAATATTTGACTCGTATCTACTTTTGTCTTAATCTTTTAGTTCCTTTTTATAACAGCTTTACTCAGGGCTTTAGTTCTACAGCAAGGAATAGACATCGTGCATCAGAAATAAAGAATAAACTTTTTTGAGATTCAAATTTTCATCACTTGTGACACATGTCTGATAAACTCTTGTATGCTCTGATAAGTTGCAATAACTTGATAGCCAACAGAAGACCAAATCTAATCTTAAAATCCATTACTTTATTCCATGATCCCTGTCAGTGTTATATTTTTTTTGTTTTCACACTAATAGCAGTAATAGTAACAGTATTCTTTTTTAGATATTATCATTAATGCTTCACCCAAAAAATAATAATGCTGCTGCTTTTACCAAATATTTAAAAAATCTGTTAGCATCAATTTTAACCCATTTACTATTAAAATCATTTTTTTTTTGTTTCTTCAGAAGAAGAGTTGAAAATATTGGAAGAGGAGTTCCATCATCATCAGAAGCGATTAGACGAATATGATGCTCTTAGAGATGAACTTGTTAGATTGGAAAGTAAGCATCTTGTATAAATCCAGAAAGAATGATATTGTTTTGATTGTTGATAATAATATTGATTGATTTAAGCAGCATAATTTTTGATTTGATCAGCACGCTCTTCTTTAAAATGACAGGTGTGCTGCTGACTGCATTAAAGTTGGATTTTGGTGATTCTCATGCTGTCATGAAACTTTCTTTTCTTTTCTTAATAATATACTCACAATTTGTCTAATTATTGAGCATATAAGATGCATGGAACAATCTATCCCCATGGACTAAATAAAGGGTTTGGTTTGAAGAAGGTTGTAGTGTACAATGGCCAATATGTTGTGAATATGGCAATAAAGAGGAGGACAATGATGTAAGTAATGTAGATAGTTACAATGCCTCATCTCAGAAATATAGACAGATATTTCTTTAAATGTTATGAAAACATTTAACAAAATTGATTATTATTCAAGAAAGGAAAAATTTTCTTTGTTTTGTCACACAGTGCGTCTCCACTTGATTGTTTAGCTCATCTATGTAGTCAAATGAACTGTAATTGATTTTATCTGGGCCTGGAGAAACTGGGGTTTTATGTCTTTTAGTCATTGACTAGCAAATTAGTTACCAATAAAATTAAGATGTAAAAGCAACCTCCTGCTGTCCATGAAGAGGGAAAAGAAATCATCTATATATAAAATTCTGTTATTTCTGTTAGTCTGTCCATCCATCCATCCATCTGTCGCTCTCTAAAATAGCCATACATTGACCAGTCAAAATCAAATATTGGGGAGAAGTGCAAACTGGTAAGGGGGTACAAAGTACAGTTGGTTTTACTAGGGTGCTTATTGCTTAGTACAATAAATTTTCATTCATTTTTTTTGAAAAATTAAAAGTTTGAGTTAACATACAAAATATTATCACTATTTTAAAAACAATTTAATGATTAAAATAACAAATACTTATTTAATAAAAATGCAATATTGATTTTGCATATCTTTTCTATACAAGAATCCAGTTTCCAGTTCGCCCTGTGTTTGTGAAAACTATAAACAAATCACAAGGCCAAACGTTTCAAAAAATTGGAATTAAACACCAGAAAGAAATATTTACGTATGGCTAGTTGTATGTTGTATGCTCAAGAGTAAGAAATCCTAAGAATTTATTCTTTGCTGTTAAAAAGGAAAAAAATAGTTTTTTTTTAAAAAATATTGTTTACTATAAGATTAAATTAAGGAAATTGTTAAACCACAAAGTAGGGTTTTTGTTATAGTATTTTCCAAACAAATCAGCTTATTCAGATTTTATTGATTGGTTTGCTAAATTAAACAAAACATAGAGTTTGTAAATCTCAACAAAAAATGTTAGTGATAACTTCAACAATACTAAACATTGTGAGGATTTCAACATGCATCGGTGTGTTGCAAAAAATTCTAGTAAATGAAAAACCTTTCAGAATCAAGTGACATTCAGCCAGAAGATAGGGAATTCTGGTTATGGTCTTATGTAGTCAGGCTACACTCTAGATAAGTCATAAAGTCAAAATCATATTTAGAGTAGGAAGAAATGTAGAGTCACAGACAGAATTCTCATTTGTCAAATGAAAGATCTGATCCATTAGTCTGTTGTGAGGAAAGACATTAGCAGCAAAGATAGCCCCAGTATCTCTTACTTACCCTCAGACAGTTGCCAAGTGAACTAATCCATGAATAAAGAACCCTGCTTATGAGAACCAACAGACTTCTTGTTTTTTTTTTGTTGTTTTTTTACCAAGGCAATATCTTGAGATGGCCAAATTCAAGACTTTTCTCTTTATGTGATTCAGTTTCTTGAACGGACACAAGGCCTTTCCCAGTTTGTTCACACTGATGCAAATGGCAATCAAATCATAGCATTGAACAGAAACTGACCAACCTGAAAAATTGCTTGAGGGAACTGGTTGTATAGTCAGAGTTTAAGTGGTTTTGATTAAATATAATTTGTTGTAAGAATATAAAAAAAGACAATTAATAAGGTTTGTGAGAGACAATAAGACTTCTTATTTTCAGTCAACTTGTCAATGTCATATTCCATACATTAAGATTCAGGTGGGTGAAAAAATCCTTTGCCTATATTGAATCATTTTTATAAATTTATATTGAATCATGGGCAAAAGACAGTGTCTCAAAAGGATGGTTTTTCCCTTGACACTATTAGAATTTTAACTATCTTCAATCCTCAACAATGTTTATTGTTTTAAAAAGTGACTATTACAATTTTAATAAAACCTAAACATATGAAAGTGAATTTATACATTTTCTTTGTTCTTGAGAATCTAAAAAAAAAAAAAATTAAACACTATTGTTTATTAAAATGTTTGGCAAAACATTAGCTAATTGCTGATTGATTCAAACTTTATAAATTGGTAAATAATAAGGATTTCGTTATAGTTGGTTCACATTTTTATAATTAGTAAATTTCTATAAATTTATGAATAAAAAATTTTCATTTTTATTTTTTGATAAATATTTCATTGTATTAGTTTTTAGAATGTTGTAAATATAAAATTATTCTTGTAAATAAACAATGTAATTGTGTTTAATATTTTTGTTATAAATTCTCAAGAACAAAGTAAATGTATAAATTCACTTTCATATGTTTAGGTTTAATTAAAATTCTAATCCTCACTTTTTAAAAACAAACATCAGTGAGGAGTGAAGGGAATTAAAATAATAGTGGTGTCAAGGGAAAAACTGTCCGTCTGACTATCCTTATTTTGCAGGCACAAAGGTTAAACATTGCTAAATCATTTATAAATTTATATTTAATCACATTCATAAATTTATAGTAAAAATTTTGCTTATTTTAGAATTCTCATTGATTCTTTTTATGTTTTCTTTTTGAAACAGAAACAGCTCTGAATGCTTTGGAAAATGAAGATGATCTTGATACTGCTCGTCAGCTTTACAAACAGAAGAATAAAGAAACCAAAATAAAGCATAAACAGATCAACGAAGGATTCCAGTCTCTGGAAAAACGTATTTACCAAGATGAGAGTCATCCTCACTTCACTGACTTTCGTGTTTATCAACTCTATGCCATGGCTAAGAAAACAAATATGTCTCCAAATGAGCTAGAATCATTTGAGGTACAGTAGCAACTTTCAACATTATTTTCTAGCTTATCAAGGAAGCCATTACCAAAATGATTCCTGATAACCAATGAAACAATTGAAATATTTTATATAACAGTTAAAAAAAAAAAAACACTAAAAGATGGCAGAATTATTTTGTTCCTGCTGTCCCTGGTGCTTTGCATAAATATTTATAGGAAAACCTTGAATCCTAAATCCTTTTATTTCTACTTAAGTTATACCACTGTATCATTACAAAAGTCTCAATTCTTTTACTTAGGGCTAATGTTTTAGGTTATTTGTAACCCTGATCTGTAGGTTTGCTTACTTATCTTAAAATAATGTAACCTTTGCCTAGAGGAGAAAATAGAAATAATCAACTTTATAATCAGAGTACATTTCCAAATGTAGACCCAAAAACAAATTCCTACTTCACTATCTCCAACCACATCACAATTGAAAAAGCTAAATAACATACCATAAGGAAAATATTTAAAATCCCAATTTGAGAACTGAAGGAAATATACTAAAATAAATAAAGAATGAGTAAAATGAATTGAATAAATAATTACATAAAATTAAAAAAAATAATTAAAGTTAAAATATAGTAAATTAAAATAGTAAAAAGTAAGCAAACTATGAATAAAGTAAACTATAAATAACCCAAAACATTAGCCTTAAACAAAAGAATTGGGAAAGGCCAGTTTTCCACTCTCCAAAATTCCCCCAGAGTCTGTGAAATGTGTAGTGACACATGGTTTGAAAATTGCTTAAAGCAGGAAACTGACAGTTACCATGTCCACAACTACATACTATTTTCATTATTGATCACTCTTTTTCTATAGATATCACAAATTTTAAACCATATATATATAATTAATACAAATATAAAGTTTGTTAGCTGATTGGAGTTGTTTCATAGACAGACCCTCCAGCAATCACTCCATCCATTCCTCAGGTGGTACCAGCAATTAACTGATATTTCTTGCTTTTTTCTTTTATATGTGCATTTTTCATTTGTGTAGGGTTGATTTTTTTTTCCTTTCATAGTGCATGTGTGTGCACGCCCATGTGCCTGTTTGTGCGTATGTATAGAATGTTGTGGTTATTTCTCCTTTTCATTGTTCTTCTTGTCGCTTTATCCTCTCTCCTTATTGGTTTTCATACTTTTTCTTTTAGTTGTAGCAATTTTGACATCCTGTTTTTCAGACATTCACAGTTAATTCTTGAGCATTATAGTGTTTTCTTAAGTTTGGAAAATTGTATTTCAATTTTTACATAAATATTTTTATTATTGTTAAGTTCTTGGCTTGACCCACTTTTCAAAATGATCAATTTGATAAATATCGCATTTTTGTTTCTGTGGGTGGAGGCATCTTGGTCTGATTAAGAATTTATCAGAACCCACCTCGTGCATATACATGTGTGTGTGTTTATTCAATGTTATGTATCGCTTTTTAAATTCTATACTTTGTTTTTATTGGTTGTGTGGATGTCACATATATAACTCATGCATCTGTCTGTATGCTTAATTCTTGAAATGTTAATGTAAAATGAGTTTGTATTAAAACTTGTGTATATTAGTGTATTTTACTTGTATGATAAATATGATGAATATTGAAAGTGAATGTGTAATGCTAGAGAGAGAGAGAGAGAGAAAATAAGTGGAAAGAAAAACTAATTAAAAAAATGTTACATCTAAGAAATTCTAACAAATATTATATCTAATACTACTAAGAGCAAAAAAAAATGCAGTGGAATAAAAATTGGATAATGAAGATATAATTATATGACTAAATACTTTTACTGGTTAACTTTCATAGTCTACCAAGGAAATTTGTCCTAATCAGACAAATTTCTAAAGATAGAAAATGTCAATTCAGATCTCATTTCCAATCCAATCTGTTTGCTCTAGAAAGTCAAAACAATTTAATCATTTTAAAAAAGAAAAAAAAGGACAACAAACATACAATGAAAAATCTATCAGCAATAGAGATCGTAAATTTTTTACAGTTTTTGTAATATATTATTTTATGCTAATACCACTCACATTTACAGCTGCTAAACTGTCCATTGATTAAATCATAGGTTATCAGTTGCTATTTTAAGGAATCCAAATGTGAAACCTGGATTTTGTATTATCGGACATCAGACGTCTGGAGCAGTTCCAGCAAAGGAAACTCCAAAGAATCCTTTGCATCATTTGGGAGACTGCTTCATCAAGAATGAGGTCCTTTTTAGGATAATGGGTGGGTAATGAGTCCTTTGTATCATACTGTTTACAGAACTTGCAAGGGGCTATGCGGAGGCCCAAAATAATGCTTCAAGGATCAGTTGAAGACATCCCTAAGTCCTGGAAAACCATTGCTGCAGATCGACTTTCATCTGGCATTGGACCAGCTGAGAGGGGACTGACTTTCCAGTCCGGCCATCAACATGTGGAGGATTTGTTGTGTGCTGTCAGGAGACCCCGAAATTCTATGGTATACCATAAGCATCACAAAAAATGAGTTTGTTTTGGAATATCTTACAATTGTTACCATTCTTTGTAGGACAACATTTTTAATATTATTTTTTTTTAATACTATCAGCCCTTAAGAGATTTCAATTGTTCAATCTATGAAGTCCTAACTGAATTGTTGAAAAATCTGAATGTGTGATGTTATTGCAATTAAATTGATATATCTCAAAAACTGTTTAAAATCAAGGATTACAAGTTGTTTTTATGTGAAAGAAAATCTGTTTCTCTCAAATGATAGCAATTTCAGCCTTTTTGGTATCACTGGTTATGAGATATGGTTTTGGAAATCTATAATTTTATGGAATTCTGGTGCCTCTAGTTGATCATGTGATAGGTATTAATGCTGTACTGTGTTAATCAATTGTGGTTGTATTATAACATGGTCAGTCCAGCTCAATCTGGGGTTCTTCCCATGCTTGTCAGCACTCACTGGTCAACTGATAGTTATCTGCTGATTGCTTTGGTTTTTCATCTACCTTGCCCCACATTATGTTTTTTGATCGCAGGACAGTGAAGATCAAATTTCTGTTCATACTTAAGTGCTGAATTGAGTTGTGGTGGAAACATGTTCTGAAAAGGGACAAAAATGCTCCCACTAGTGAAAATACAAATATCATAATAATGATGAATGTCACTGGGTTAATTTTCAATTGGCTTATATAGTCATTGATACAATAAAATTAACCCTTCTTGTTAAACTCTCTACCATGACACTGTGTTTCTTGTTTCTAAAACTTGAAGCAGGTTAAAACATACACAAGGAATTAGCTCGGGACTTCTGATGGCAGCAGGTTATATGGGGTTCAGCAGCTCCCCCCCTGCTACTGTTACGTCTCATCTGTGTCTCTTGCTCCAAATATTGGCCTCAACTAAGCGTTCAGTTTATATATATATATTGCCTGACTCCTACTTCACCTCAAAACTCATTAATTATTCATCAATTATTTACTCCAACTCTGGAGACATTGCACTGACCCTCAAATTGGTCAGCTATTTCAAAACAATAATCCCTTTGACAATAAACTTTGTTTTAACATTCCTTTCAACAATCAGCCATTTACCCAAACAATAATTTTTCCATTAACAAACTTCTGTATTTAAAAATTATCTCTATGTCCTTTGACATAAAAGAATTTAATTTTGTTTTTGACTTTCAAAATGTGCAATTTAAAATCCCATTGTTTATATTTTGTCTTTACTCAAATTCGCTTCCTGGATGACAGTGACCTTCAAATAAAAAGTGGTCAACTATTCAAAACAATGATTTTTCCTGATAACAACTTTTTGCATTTTTGAAATTTATTTAAAACAGCAAAGACTTTTCTTTGTTTGACAACTTTTCAAGATACATTCCAATTAATTCTCTGCACATTCCCAGCCTGGACATTCTTTTTTAGCTTGCATTTTATCTTTCCCAAATGTCAGATTGACCTGGTTATCAAAAAGAAAAAATTTTTTTTTTTTTTTTTGTTTCATATTTCCATTTATGTTTTCACCTTAATGATTTTAACCCTTCTAATTCTCCAATTCTATATGAGGATTCCACATGAACCCTTTTTAAACCAAACTTTATACTATCAATTTCACAGTATTCAGGCATTCCCACACTGTAAAACTTACAGGTGCATTTGGACACTTCCAGCCTTAAAGGGTTAATTGTTTGAAAATTTTTTATTATCTGAGACAGATTAATACCGGTTTTGTATTGTTAAATTCTTAGAAAAATTATTTAGTCAACAAATATTCCTGGAAATGTTTTCTATTTATTCACACTATCCATCATGCTTCTATAGTATTTTTTTCAATATTCAGTGCATTGGTCAAATATTTTTGTAAGACTTAACAACTCTAAATTTGATGATAAACCAACTGTTTATATTTCAATCTTTTTTGTTGCTTAGGAGGAATTAAAGCAATTTCAACGTCGTATTGACAAACATGAAACACTTAAGGACATGGTTAGGCAGTCTCAGAGCCATTTTGATAAAACAGTTAAAGATGGGAAATATCCACCAAAACATACAGAACTTGAAGATAAAGCAAATGTTTATGACTACAAGGTTTGTTGAATATAATTTTGTTTTGATCTTTCTCTTATAATTTACAAAATCTACAATAGAGTTGATTTACCATTAAAGGCTTCCAACAATTAAAACATGAAATATTACATTTAACCTATTCTAAACTTGTATAAAGACAGATACTTTGTATTTAGTAACATTATATCTGCTTGCTATCTTATGAGTGGTACAATATTTGAATAGAAATGAAAATCTTCCTTCAATGGCTTCTTTAATCAAATGGCTTCATTTCAACTCAACTGGATTGAAAAATATGGAAAGCAACATTATCTATTGTAATATTATTGATGGAAGTTACTGTAATTAAATTAAAAAGTTCATTAATAATCTATCTTACTATACCATTTATACTTTTCTCTTGTGGATTGGGATGTTGCACAGATTATCAGCAGTGTACAGACAGTCTAATTTACTTCTGACATTGAATATTAAAAGGTCTTAAAATTACAATTGAAAGTTATTCTGTAACAAAAAAAAAAAGAAACAATTTGATTTTTCACTGCCACTGCATATTGAAAATATTTGTGTTGATTTTTTCAGGTAAAAAAATATCACGACGAGCTTCACCAACGAGTGGACAAGTTGTTGTTCCAGCATACAGAACTTTGATGAAAAACTTTGACCTAGCTGTTATCATTGGTAACACTTGATTATCTCCCCTGATTCCTATGACAACAGCGGCTGTTTTACATAGCAAACAAAATTGTAAACATTACCACACTGCAATATAGTCTCTTCATGTTGTAAAAAACTAGTGATATTAACAGACACTAGTTTATTTTCTATTTAACAGATAATATGAAAATTTACTCTGTCAAAGATCAGTTTTATTTCGATTTCAAGAATTTTATTTACTTTTAATTATTGTGGTAGGAAATAATGAAAGTTCACTTCAAATGTTTTCCATTGTCAGGACATCATTTTTTTTTTTTTTTTAAACCTGTATTTTTATTGTTTTAGATATATAATTAAAGAAGGTTCGTATTTCTTTACTATTACTTAATAAATTAATGAAGACTTTTTGCAGTACAGTAATAATTAAGCAATTTTTTTTATTAGTCAAAGCTTTTTTGTTTTTACTTTATGAATCTGTAATGGTATCTAGTTTTTGTTACACTCCAAAAGGCCATGTTTATGAGGATGAAAGGTAAAGATAATTTTTTTAACAATACAATTATTTATTATTTTCTTTAAACCAAATTATCAACCTTCTAAGTTTGAAGAATAACAGATAAAATTATTAAACTTTTTAAAATATACTGGTCTCTAATTTGATGTATCTGGATAAACTGATATTAAATACATAAATTAACTACGAGTGATTTTTACTTCTCTACGTCATGCATAGTGGAATCTATATGAGTTGGAGAATATCAAAAATCAACCTTTAGACTTGACATCTACATTCTTAGTTCAATCCTATGGGCATCTAATGCATAAAATATTCCTTTTTTTTTCATTCAACAAGTAACTTTGCTTATGGCTTTTAAGAGAATTGATACAGCTACATAAAAGCCATTCTACTATGATAGAGATATTATCTTATGAATAATATTGAAATGAAACACTGAATATAGAGACAAGACAATTCATATTTTATGAGATTATTATGTTTGCATTTCATTGAAGTTTGTTGAACTAATGTCAACAGACTAGCATTTAAGTTGAAGGCTTGTATTACTTTTTTTAATGCTTCAAACCTTTTTAAAAAAAAACAAAAAGATCCTATCTCACTAAAATTTACTCTTAGGATAAAAAAAAATTCATATTGTATTAAAACCCTTCATGTTCTGCTTTTAAAGTTATATTTAAATAAAACATACTATGGAATATTATAACAATTATTTTGCTGTATTATTTATGATCAGATTTACACACACACACAAACACTTTGATAAAACATAGACTTATTGATGTATTTTCAGTTTTTAGATACCTCTCTCCAAGAAATCAGTAATTATTGAATTTTAATGACTTTTTTTGGTCTAAATTGGTAAAGTAGGAAAATATAATTTTTGGTAAACATTTTTTGCATAAATTACTGTTTATTTGATAATATAATTTAAAAGTTTACTGTAATTAAAGCTACAATTTATTTCCAAACTTTTTTTTTTATGTACACCTACAGTTAAAGATTACTTAATGAATATTAAAAATAAATATGAGTAATAAGATAATATCTACAAAAATCTTTTTTATAGCTGACATCATTAGTTCTGATTACAAAGCTTTACCATAAACAGGAAAATAAAATATATTAAATAAACTTGAAATATTTTAAGATTTTCAAAAATAAGCAATGTGTACTTAAACAAACTAAAAATGTTTGAAGTATATATTTTTTGTAGTTTGTCAACAGAATTCCTTTTTGTTGTATAGTAGTTTATAAGGATCAATTTATATCTACAATGACAGGTAACTGCTGATTGATTTTTATTTCTGCCAGTTTCCAAAAGTTATAGAAGAATTTTTCTTAGTAAGTATAAATTGTTGAAAATTTAATTCCCAGTACATGTTGAAAAATTTATAGACAGTTTTTACTTTCTGCAAATTCATACTGATTTTTCTCTTGTTTCAAAATAAAATTAAGAATCATAATATTAGTTTACTTAAATTTGGTTTCTTACTTCCCCATTCTCTCTTCTTTTAAAGTGTTATGATTTTTTAATTTTACCAAACTTAATTCCAGAAAAGGTTATTTTTCACATATACAAAAAAGAAGAAATGTAAAAAGGAATTACTTTGTATCCTTTTCTTATTCATATATTCTATGGGCATCACACACCAAGATTATAAGAATGTTTTTTAAATCGTAAGTGAAAAAGATTTCAAATTTGAATCTTACAATTTTTATAATTTGGAAACAAAAAAATATTCTCCTATTGCAAATTTCCATTTATATTTTCTTTACAGTTTTTCTATTTTCCTACAAAAGTTGTTTTGCCTTTAATCAAAGGGAATTAAAAATAGGAAACGCAATCTTGTAAATTTTAGGCTTTTTACAATTCCAATCTTTTTTGGAACATATACAGAATCCAGTATATATCCACCTGATCATTCACAAAAGATGTATGATTTAGAATTATAATTGTTTTAGATTATATTCTTGGCCTAATGTTTTGGTCAGTAATATGCATATCAGGTTACCACTTTATCTTGGAGATTGAATATCATTAGCTTGTTTCTTAATGTACACAATGAAATGATTATTTCTTCTTCAAATCATTCTTTCATGACACAAGAATTATACTTCTTCCTACTAATATCATTTTCTTTTGAAATATTAAAGAAAAACCTATTGTTACATTTATTATATGTTGTATATGACATGGATACAATTTTAAGCCTCTATGTTAAGATGATGGGATATATGAGTTAATATTGGGTGTAAAAGGAATAATCCTTAGTTAGGACTTTATTATTTTAACATAAAACATAAATAGTCTACATTTAGATAATTAGACTTTTAATCTGATATTGACATCAATGATCACTCATGAAGAAAAGATGAAAGGAATAATGAATAAAAAAAAACATAATAAATATGTATTTCGTTTGAAACTGACCAAAACCTTAAAAGTTTTTGCTTCCCTACTGATTGGTGAAATAAAATATTTATATTTACATATTTGATTTGTTTTTCATTTTTTACACTTTTCTGTGTTTATTTGACTTTACAAATTTTAGCTTAATTTCCTGTTTGATAGATTCAATGAGAAAGCATAATCAGCAGTTAATTTAGTTGTTTAATATTAAGATCTCAATATGTTCCAAAAATAATACCTCCTATTTATTCCCATGAAATCTACAAGAGATAGAGTAAATTTTCAACTACAAAGCACAATCTCCTCATATAGGCACGACTTGGCTATATATTTTTATCAACAATGAACATTTCATAAGCTGACAGTCATATACGACTATTAGAAATATTGCTTGCCACTGCTTGATCTCCATAAATGTTCAGCAAGTATTGATGAATTTCAGTATGTGTAATTTTTTTCCATATGAAGCAATTCAATGATACACCTCTGCTTCATATCAGATGCTATTTTGCCAAAGTGTCACTTAACTAGGCAAAAAAAAAAAGATGGGTTATTGATAGAAAGGTTCAACTACTGACATTCTGCAAGTAGACATAACAGAAAGCATTGTTTTTTGAAGCATCTGTTATATATTGACTTTTATGTCTTGTTAAAATTGTACATTTTATAGACATTTAAAACCAGTTTAGTTGCTGATTATGATTTTCTTGATGTCAGCTAACATTCGTTTTGTAGCTCTAAAAATGATTCCATTATAGACAAGATGTTATATTTCTATATTTTACAATCAAAACAATACAATTATTGTTCAATTATATACCTAAAATATTTATAAAATATTCTGAGAACTGTGAATTAAGTGCAAAAATGTTTGAAAGTATATAAAATCATTGTAGTTATTAGTATTTTCTTAGCATCAAAAGTTAATTATTGACGTTTGTTTCGTTTATCACATTTCTTCATACAAAAGGAATTCTCTCTAGAATTGGTAATAGAAAAGAGACAGGTGATTCATTAGTTAATAATTTTTATATTGTCCTGAAAACTTAACATATCCGTACATAATAGTATCTATATACAAACAAGTGAAAGGTTTACACAAATGAAGGTCAGTTAGGATCTTTAGAACTATATCACTTTTGCTATTCATAGTTTTTCAGACGTCTCCAAGCTTCTCTTCTAGTTTTCTGAATTCACGACTGGAAACTTCATCCACTTCATCTTCTACCTGAAAATACACAGAATAGAACAGTACAATGTGCATGTGTTTTTTTTTTTTGTTTTGTTTTTTAAAAAAAGAAATATATTAGTTGTAATTCTGTATATGTACACCAACTTTCATACTCTAAAGAATTCACATAATTGTAAATCAATAATTAAGATGCCTAAGAACTGCCAATGTATTTTTCCTCATATTGATCATTCATCACTAAATACTCTCATAATCATTACATAAGGTTTCACCAGTATAAATTCAACCATGTTTTTAATTTCTGGAAACTAAAACCTACCAAGTCATTCTTCAAGGAATTAATAACTTAGAACTTACCTGTTCTACTTCTCTGACCTCAGGAATATAGAATTGTAGCATGTTTTGGACTCCATTTTTCAAGGTTACTACAGAGCTGGGGCAGCTTGTACAAGAACCCTGCATTTTCAGTTTCACTATACCATCTTCAAAAGACTTCAAATGGAAAAAAAAATTGAGTTAATAATGTTATCAACTATTTTGACATTTTGTATATGTGATAGTAGGTTAGTGTTAAGGGTTCTCTTACATTCTGAAGATATATACATACATATATATATATATATATAAATACAAATATAGGTAACTATACTCGTTTCGAAAAACCTTTGAATTTTTGATTTGCCAATAATCAAATCAATCTCGAGGGGAAAAAAAGGTTTTAAAAAAAAAAAGAAAGAGCTAGAAACATGAAAGTCTGTCGAAAAAAATTGCACAGATACAGGTTTGAAGCCCAAAGAAAAAACCCCGCCATGAGTAAACAACTAACAAAAGAGTTCAATACAACCATAGAGCAGACCTAGATACACCTAGTGAGCCAGACAAACCTACCGAGGTTTCACCTAAGCGGATCATCAGGGAAAGCTGGCTGACGATCCGCTTAGGTGAAACCTGGGTAGGTTTGTCTGGCTCACTAGTTTATCTATATATATATATATATTATATATACATACAAATATAGATAACTATACTCGTTTTGAAAAACCCTCGAATTTTTGATTTGCCAATAATCAAATCAATCTCGAAGGAAAAAAAGTTTTTAAAAAAAGAAAGAGCTATAAACATGAAAGTCTGTCGAAAAAAATCGCACAGATACAGGTTTAAAGCCCAAAGAAAAAAACCCGATACGAGTAAACAACTAACTAACAAAAGAACTCAATACAACTGTAGAGCAGACCGAGATAAACCTCTAGCCAATTTTCCCTGACGATCCGTTTAGGTGAAACCTAGGTAGGTTTGTCTGGCTCACTAGGTTTATATATATATATATATATATATATATATATGTGAGTGTGTGTGCAAAAGAATGATATATAAATTTTTATATATCAGAACAATGGGTAACTAAAGATCAAAATGGGGAGAAAAAAAGAATTCATCAGGTTAAAGAAGAGTAATATTCTTATTGATGGAATTATAGATATGTAGATGAGGCGGGAATGTAAATGTCAATTATAATTATGCACTGAGGGGAAACACTCAAGAAGCAGGGACACTAAATTTAAAATTCTAAAATTTCTAACTGTCCAAACACAGTTCATTTTTTTGCTTTGAAATATCCCACACTGCAACAACAGATTTGTTAAAAAAAAAAAAAAACCTGAAATGTAAGGACTTCGATGTAAATTTACTGCAGAAGACTCAAATCAGTAATTTACTAAGGTGAAAATTAAAGCAACGTTTTTTCAATTGAAATTATGGTCAGATTCATTATATGTAAATGACTAATGGACTGACAATTTTGCAAAGAATCTCTTTTGTGTTTATATAATCTTTAATTTAAATTCCACAAGGTCTCTCCAATGTATTCCTGTGGCAGTCATTACAGACTAGAGTAAATTCCTACTTCATGTTTTAAGTAGTTGTTATTTTTTTTATTAAGTCTCTTGTTGCTTTAGAAGTAGTTGTAACAAATTTTATGTTTAGATAAATTCTTTTCAATTGTAATTGCAATAGAGTTGGTAGGCAAGCAGGACAATGTGTCTAGTTTTATTAAAAGTATATTGCTCATTCTTTGATTTCTCAGGGTTTAACTAAGATAAATGATTGGTTTGGTTTATTTTGTTTAACGGCATATCAACCTCAATGGGTTATTTAATGCTGACAACATTTTTAGGATAGATTCATATGAATAGAGTATGTATTCTTTGGTTTAGATTAGTTTGGTTTATTTTGTTTTGTTTTATGGCATATCAACCTCAATGGGTTATTTAATGCTGACAAAAATTTTTATTGCTGGTAATATTTTGTTTTGTCAAAAATCTGCTTCTGTTAATATATTTCCTTCAAAATTGTATTGCTGGTAATAATTTTTTTTTTCAAAAAAGTATTGCTGGTAATAGTTAACTATTTGCCCATAGCTGGGACCCTAACAGGTGCTACCACCCCGGGTCAGGGTGGACCTGGGAACACCAGCAATTAAGAGGTGGTTCCACGCTCCTCAAAACCTCCTGAGCAGAGGCCTTGCTGCTGGATGTAGTTTAACATCTTACCCAGGATGCAGATGTAGTTTAACGTCTTACCCAGGACAAGATAAATGATTGGCAGGTGGAAACTGACTTTCATCTAATTAATGTTGCATTACAAAATTGATTTAAAAAAGATATCATTAGTTGACAGGATAAATAAGTATTTTCAAACTTTGACATAAATCATTTCTCAGTCAAGTGGTGATGGATTTCAGTTGCTTTGACTGCAAACAATAAGGTTAAGCAAGGGTAAAGAGTGACAAAGCAGAATACACTTCATATCAATATATCCATAGTAGAATAAAATGGGATGTATTTCTAGAATCCAAGGGAGCTTTTTCCGAGTCATATTTATTGTTCAGACAATTAAGTTCTTTCATAAGAAAGACCATAAACCATAACTGTATACATTTACAGGATGGGCAAAAAAGAATTAAAAAAATAAATGCTTTTTAACTCTATGTAGATTTACAGTATGAACATAGGAAGTGTTAGCTAAACAGGCAATGTTAACTGGATTTGAATCTCACAAGAAGTTGATAAAATTCACTGAAGTTAAAAATTTTAAGCTTTTTTTTACCATATTGAAATTGAAAAATTAATTATTATTAGAAATATTGTCAACATTATAGACAAAGAAAAAAATTCAAACTGACCACAAAAACAATGTCTCCTCCATCTTCTTGTACTGTAGGACGGATCCTTGTATCTAGAAGTTCCTTGATCATAATCACTGTCTCGTCGTCATCTTCATTAATGACTGTAGAAGAGACAAAAGCATATTTAAATGATTCTCCATTGAAAACTTGTAAATTAATATTTGTAGTAAAAGTAGAGTTGCCTGTCAAATGATGTTATTTTAATGTTGACTCTTAACATTGTGAGTATTATCAGGTCTCCCATACTTCAGTTTTAAATTACATTTTATATGCATTGTATTATCAGCTAACAGGTAACAGAGACCCACAGTATGTTTTGTAATTCAGAAATTCACCTCTAACTTTCTGTCTGTTGTAAAAAAGCTTTTAGGAGTTTAATATCCAGATGGCATTTGCAATAAAGGATTCATGGCTTTTGAAATTAAGATATTGTAAAATCTCAGAACCAATAGAAAATAGACCTTTTTGTTTCAATCTTTAAAACATCAGAAAAATGTTTTGATGCTTCTCAGAAAATTTATTGGCCAAAATTTCAGAAAAAATAGATTTTTATAATGTCAAACCGACTGGCAAGAAGAAAACAGAAGAATGCTGCTTCTTGAAGGACAGACAAGAGCCATATGCTGAAGGAAAGTAAAAAGTAGAGATTTACTTGACCCAACCCCACTGAGTCAGGTAATGACACAAGGTCAGTTTTTAATGTGGAGACCCGAGTGTTTTCCAAGCTGGTCTTGGCTTGTCATAGCTGGTCCAAGGAAAGTGGTTTCTACATTCCAACTTATTTTAATTGTAGTTACTTTTCCAAAATAATAGAAATTCAAATATACATGATGAATTTTTTTTCCAGAGATTAACTAATTAGAAGATAATACCACATTGTATCTGATTTTTTTTTTATCTAGTCTTATTGAGATATTTTTAAAGATTAATATTTTCTAGACAATCAAAAATTAACAATACTATATAGTATTGTTTTATCTGATTTTCATGTCTTAATTGTACATTTTACAAACTTAACAATTTTTGTAGCATCCAAAGATTAAAGAACGTCATACAGTATTATTTTTTTTAATGTTATCTCATTTAACCCATTTTTAGGTATTGAAAAATTAAAGTACAATGAAGTTTTGAAAGAACCAAGAAACAAATATGACATTCAGTCAGGATTTTTATCCTTTGAATTATTACTAATATTTTTTCATTAAATAAAATATTGTCATCAACAACTGAAATGATTGTCAGGTTCCAATTTAACCAAAGGTGGTCTTATGTAGTTTAATATGTGTATGCATCTTGTCCTATGTACATTATATATGTATCTCCACCTTAGGTAACATGATAATTCTTTCATAATAGTCAATCATTAAATTAATTAATTTCCACTGAAACTCTTCCTTGAATCCTACTTTAGAATCCGACTACTGTCTTTAGGTTTTATCATAGTTAGCATGGGTAAATGATTTGAGCATGTAAGATGTTGTGGCTGCCAAATTTAGTGCTTTTGACAATACAGATAAAGTAAATGAATTAAAATGTTTAGTAGTCATACATAATCCACAGTCAAACTGAAATCCTACAAGTTTCCTTTGTTCAAAGACAAAACAAATTGTTGAAGTTGCTTCATAACATTTTTCCTTTTGTTTTCTTTTTATGGTTAAAATACCAAATATATAAATAACAAGTATTTTCATTACATTTTGATTTTCAACACATTATAGATTCATGAGCTGACTATAAAATAGCTAATCCCAGTGAGATACCCTGGAATTATTTGTCTGAATCAAAACTATCAGTTGCTCTGATAGTTTAACAACACAAATTATTGTGCTCATCAGGGCACCATGCATTCATTTTCAACAATCTAATATTAATGCCTTTTATATGATGATTTTCTACAATCTATCTTCTTACTAATAACAAGTGACATGGCATTTTTATTAATAGATGTTATTTTGTTGACAGATATCTGTAAAGATTGATAAGTCAAGCAAATTAATGAAAGATTTTTTTGTTGTGAGTGATGATACTAGTAAGACAGCTTTTATTCTTTTAGATAGCAACAAAGTGTAAGTTTAGGAAGACATTATTTCATATGTAAAAAAAAAAATGACTGTTCTTTGCCCTGTAAATAACAATAAAGAGGATTTCACTTTGTTAGAAACAAATGCACACAAATGTGTTGCAAAGCTAAAAGAGTCAGGTAATAAAATATTTTAACACATTGTGATATTGGTTTTATGAAGTACAACACAGGGTCAAGTTATAATGCATACACATGGCATAGAAATTGTTAAAATTGGTGTATATCAATTTCAAAATAAAGTATATTCATTTCATGCCAAAGATAGACATTCTATGACTGTACTTTGAACCAACATGCAATCACAGACTTCTGAATGGACAAGAAGTCAATTGTTGTAGGTTGGTATATTTTCATCTTCATAATGCAGCATACTGTCTACCATTCATCTATGCTTTGAATGTTGCTGCCACATATGGCCTGGTGCTCTTGCCATATATTTAGAGATTTTTGATAAAATTTAGAGAAAAATCTGCAATGCTATCTGACATCCTAGCTTCAAACACTTTCCCCATGCCCTATAATGTAGCTTCCCTGTACCTTTTCTATAATTACTATCAGGGTAATTGCTCTGATGAGCTTTCCTCTATGGTACCTAATCTTTATGAATTTAAGCACAGTAATAGATTGGTAACAAGGTCTCATCATTTTAGTGTTGAAATGTTCTTAAGGAATTCCAATAAGATTTGGTAGAACAGTTAGAAATGGGTTATGGAAGAAGTGATTCAATTTTTAGAGCATATCCAGGCATTACGGATGTTACATGTTACATGTCCATAAAACAATATATTGCAAAGTTCTTAATGTTATAATAGATTTCTATGAAATTTGGTGAAAGGGTATATTATGGGCTATAGAATAAGTAATAAAAATTTGAGGCAGATCAATTAATTTCTATAGTTACTTCCTCTACAAGTAAATTCATTGCAATGATGTTGGCAAATATATGCACTCTCTGAGTGCTTTCTAATCCTTTAAGTAATTTATATTATGAAGGTTATTGGGTGATGAGTCACAAAACAATCAAAACATTTCCGAGATGAGTGCACCACAAGAAAGTATCTTTGCCTTCAAGCACTGAGAACTCTTGTTACATCACTGAACATGTCTTCATTAATTTTTATGGAAATTTAAAAAAAAAAAACTCCAATGCGTTTTGAATACAAAAGAAACATCTTAAAAGATATATATTAACCAACTTAACTATAACTCTATATTTCACAAAGTCTTCCTTGCCTAACCTATTGATATAAGTATATATCGTTTCTAAATACTGACAAATACTAAAACTACCAAATACTGATTTCCAGTAATCATAGACCATTGACACTTGAAAACCAATATTTTATATTCTTGCAGATTGCTTATGGATAATTCCTGATTAAAAAACTCTTAAAATGAAAGTTATTGGGAAAAAAAACAGGAAGATTTCAACTGATTTTAAGATGCACATAGTTTTTAAAAGTAAATCTACTGACATTTTATGGTTTGACAACCAGTATTTAAATCTAACTTAATCTGGATGCTGACAAATGTTGCAATTGTTTAAAATTGGGGCGAACATTGTTGAAAGGTATCCAATAGTAAGTAATATTTTATCTACATATATAACTACAAATATTTTTAGAATTTCTAATAATAAAAAGTAAACCTAGCTTACTAGTTTCTGATGGTGGTTGTTCCTCTGTTAGTACAGGGAGACCACTTGCAAAAAAATCCATAACAACAGCAAATACATGCGGTTTGATAACACTCCAACTGATGTCTTCATCAATCTGAAAGAAGAACATTCAAAGAAACCAACAAATTAAAATCTTCATAAATCCCAAAAGTTTCTAAATTTTATGTTGACAAGTATTAAATTGAAAAAACTAGTAAGATACCATTTATAAATTTGAGAAGAATTATCGTTACCTGATTTATTTGGACTATAGATCTCATCTATTTTGGTTAATTAAATCTACATTCTTCAGTTATACAATCTGTAAGAAATGAGGAGAGAGACTTTTTTTCTTTAGAAATTGGTGGAAACAGAAAAAGAGAAATGGTAGGTATTGATGGAGTTGCTCACATTGCTGCGAATGAACCAAACCAAACAGTATTATAAGTCATCACATCAATTTCTGAAGAAAAGAGACTTTTTTTTATCTTCCAGATTGTACGCCTGGAAAAAAAAAAAAAAGCTGCAGAATGAATTGACTGAAACACTATGTCAATAAAAGTAACTCAAAAAATTAGTTCAATAGTTTATACAAATTTTGCAAAACTAGATCAATAATTTTAAATTTAAAAAAATAAATAGAATTTATATAAAATATTTGAAGCAAAATTTAATCCAGCATAAAAAAAACAAAAAATCTAACACAGAAAATATTTCTTTTCTATTTTTAATAAATACTTCCATAATGCTCATCTCATTCTTCTTCCATTGCTATTAACTTTCATGAAGTTTGTCTATAAAAGAAATCTTCATATGCATTTTTGCATGATAGAAACTTAAATATTGTCAGATTAGAAGATAGTGAAACTGCTTCAAAGTATCTGAGGGAAACATGTAATATCACTAGTAGATATATAAGTATTATACATAAATTAAATATTAAAAATATACTGATTTTTGCTGGGAAAGCAACAGAGACAAAAGACAAATTTAATCTAAGTATTAAATAAAAACATAATTCTTGTTACTATTTAAATAATTTAAACATTTTTAAATATATGAGTTTCTTTACTGTTTTAAAATAAGTTTATACCTTTATAATTTTGAATCTTATTTTTAAACCTTTATAATTCTTTGCTATTCATTTATTTTTACAACATAAACTTGCTTTTAGATATATTCCAGTAAAGAGATCAACATTATGTATAGCATAACAAGAAGAATAAATAAAAGTCAATATTCTGAAATGTTAATTTATAGTTTTGTTGTGTCGGAAACCTACCACCCCTCTTGAAGATGAACTTGTCTGCCTCTGTGAACAAAGACTTTAAATAGTGGCATGTCAGTTGACATGGGGAAGATAGATAGACAGAGAAGTTCTTAGCTGAGACTACTCAGGCGATTTCTGTACCTTTTTACCAACCTATTAAAACCCTTTTATTGTTACATGTTATTTGGCGTTTGTCTCTACTAACCCCAAATCAACATCATAACAAGTTTTATTGTAAGCCAGCAGCAGACTGAATATACAAATTTGAGTCAGTTTTGTTTTGTTATTTTTTGTTGTATCCTTAAAGAGGTTACAAACAGACAAAGGTGGTACTCAAGTGAAGGAACAGCAATATGCATGTAGATGAAAGAAGAGAGGTTTATTGTAAAAGAGAATACACTACTGAGAGACAGGGAATCGGGTGGCAGTCTAGTAATTCCCAAAGTAAGACAATCTTCACTGAAATTGAGAGCCAGGCTACTGTAATTTCAAATATATAGAACTAATATATAAATATGTCCTCTATGAAAAAATATATTATTTCAAAGAGGATAGATTATGCAATATTAATTTCTAATAGTTTTTCTTAATCGGAAGTTAATAATGAAAATATTTCATTTAAGAATTATGATAATTTACGATTATACAATAATAAAAACATTAAAACCAATTACATTTTAAAATTCTTTTTTTATAAAAGAAAATTGGTTTTTAGTATGTTTGTTTTGTCAAAACATTTTACAACAAAAATATCTGAATTAAGTTACCAAATAAACTATTTTTAAAAGTAAAAATATTTTTCTTCAATGCTGTATAGGTAAAATGGATTTATATTTTCTCTCAATTTCATGAGAAATATAGAAAAGAAAAATGTATATAATTATTACTCTTTTTTTTATTGTGTAAAACAATGTAATATATTGGTTTAGTTTTTTCAGTCTGCTGTTCAAGACATTGTTTCTTATGCCCATCAATTGTAATTTTAATTTAATTTTAATTTTCTATTCTAACAAAGTTCCTCTGGTGAGTGTCAGAAGAAAAAAGTTTCTCAGGAATAAATAATTCAGCATAATTCTGCTTTTCTCAGATATCATGAAATTTTCTACCACAAAACAACTATGGAGATAATTTGCTTTGTTCACAGGAATAAACTGATAAAATTCTTACCTTGTTGATGGTGATAAAATCTGTACCCATAAAAACAGATTTGACACCTTCAATTCGAAATAACTGCCTGAAATATATTAAAGTCAAAATTAAAACTATATAAAATTATTTTGGATTTAACTGGGAAGATGAATTTGAGAGCACTGAAGTTAAGATCATAGAATTAAGGCAGGACATGAAAATCAATCAAAAATGAAACCTCATCTAACAAAACATCATAATAAATTTCATAAGATACTGGCCTCAATAAGATTTAACTTTTCTTAAAGAATTGGAATTTAGAAATAAAAAAAATCAATAATACAAAGAGTACTTTATAAATTTGTGTGTAAGCCCTGGAATTTTTTGCATGACTTTTTTAACCCCCTCAAGAAAAAATTTACCTCTGCAACCCCCTATTTTTTACATAAAAAATGATCATAAAAACTTGCACTATACTTGAGAATATACAAATAATATAAACTTGAGATTGTTAACATTTTTGTTTTAATTGTTTTTTGTATATCAATATGAATTTTTTTTTAAAAAAAAAACAACAGTTTTTAGAATTCAGCAATATATTATAATTTGTATATTTAACATATTACTTAATGTGTCTTAAATTTTAACAGGGAAACCATCACTTTTATTACATAAAGAAATCATTACTTAAGACAAAATCAGGTGATTTTGGCAAGTTTTCTTACCTACTATTGTTAATAATTGACTTGTATATGCTGATTAATTGATTAATTTAGGTTTTATGACTTTTTTTTATCAAATCTAGTAAGCTTTGTAAAACTTGGTTCCTAAAAACTTGATTCGTAATTACTGTAAACTGTAGGGAGACAGCAGGCAAGTGGAATGTATTAAAACATTACCTACTTTACGTTTTGATGTCTGTTAGACAGGCAAACAGTAACAAATAAAAATACAGTTAGCAAATCTAATTGTCAAAAATAAGAAAATTTCCATTTCAAAATTGTTATTTCTCTTTCAATTAAGCCATTCCATTTTTCCATTTTCACGGAAAATAAACCCCCTCTATACATATAAGTACTCAAAAGTACCCAGATTGACTCAATTCCCAAAATGACCACACGTGAGAATTTTAGGGAATCCTTTCTTGGTTGGGCTACCTTTTCATACAAAAGAACAGACTGTCTCAAAATAAATTTATTAGTGTTACTTATTACATTATCTTATTCTAATAAAAACTGGAAATTGCCATTTGCTGAATACTAGGTACTATGGGCCTAAAAAGTCAGTTGCAAGAAAAAGAAATGAAAAACGTAATCGCTATTATAGTTCTGAAGGAGTAAATATCCGATTATTTAAGCTTAGCTTTAGGTGGCATTCAGAGTGGCTCAAATTGCCTACATTTACAAATGATTGACAAGATTAACTTGTTCACCATCACTTCTTGACAACGAGATTCTTCTTATTATTATTAACTATACAGAACTGATCATTTAGTATTCTATAAAAGATAATCTAATAAAATTGAATTGTAATTTTATAAATTTATTCCCTGTAAACATCTGGAAGGTGAAGGACAACAATAACAGAAATGTAATAAATATGAGGTAATTTTACTTGGCAAGTGGGGAACAGTGTGCAGAAGCCAATGTAGGAAAATCCATGGTTCCTGATTCTAAAACTTGGGTTCCTGGCAAGAATTTAAGGCTGTTTGGGTTGGGAGTATCCTGAGTCTGGATAAACATTGTACGTCCTGTGAGAAGAAAAAAGAAATTAGTTTACTTGCTGAAATACTGAGCAGGATTTTTTAAAAGCACAAAATAATTAGATTAATTGCCAGACAAGCGTCAACTTGGAGGTGATCCAATAGGTTTATTTCCCTTGAAACCTTTTTTACCTGTATCCTCCTGTCATCAGTTTAAACTGATATTTCTATTTTTTTTATATATTGTGACCATTTTGCTTAAAGTTTGGATTTTCTTGATTTCAGATGAAAACTTGAACATTTTTTAACATATTTCAGTGTAGTTAGAAATATATAAAATACTGAAGTGATTTTGACATTTATTTTTCTTGGATGCAATGATTTAAAAACTAAAACATATAGTTATAAATTTTGCTAAGTAGACACTGAAAATACCTTTTCAACTTCAAAATCTAATTGAGATTGAAAATCTTTTATAAAAACATCAATCAGAAAGCAAAAGACATTTTATGCTAGAGTGTTATCATACAATGAGCTACTAGTAAATGCCTTGAGCATAAGAAGGTAAGTTTTACTTTTCTTGACAATTTCAAAACAAAGCCATTGCCAGTAGCTAGTGGATAATTGTGAGAAGTACAGGCCATAGTGGTGATGTTGCTGACATTACCAAGCCTGCAGGCAAACCCATTAAACTGAAGACAACTATCCAGAGAAAGATGTCATGCTACAACCTATACTACATTAGTTAACATGCCAATTTCATGTAGCAACTTTTGCTGTTTTCAAGAATTTTAAAATATGTTGTGTTGTACCAGCAAACACACCAAAATGCTGCTGGCATTGACAGATGATGGTCAAGTGACTCACTGGCCAAGTGTAGCACAAGGACACACATTAAGCAGCACAAGTCCTTACATTAGCATACCAAATACACATACAAAGTTATGAAGAAAATGGTAAAAATAGCCAACAATAGTTGGCAGAAGCAGGCCAAAGCACCACCATGAAGCTGTGAGTAGTGGTGATGACAATAATTGCCCTACATGAAAGAGACAATAATTGCCCTATGTGAAAGAGAGAGACAGGCCAGCATCAGCATTGCAGAGACAGCCAGTGGCAGCCAGTGGCAGCCAGTGGCAGCCAAGGTGTACCAAGCCTCAACTAACCAAGCCAGCTGCAGTGCAGATAAGACAAGAACAGATGATACATAATCAAATTTTGTAGTTTGTAGTTGACTCTCCCCAATTTAAAGCTGAAAAGATATAAGTCAAGGCCTCTGAAGCTAACACTAACAAAGTAAAATTCAACATAACCAGGAGAAACTTCAACAAATCCATAGCCTAATGATGAAAAAAGCTTTTGTTTTACACAACAAATATCTATTTTTTAATGATTTCTTTCTTTTTCAATACATTTAATTCAGCAGTGAATAATAATCACATGGATGAAACATTATATAGTGAAAATTTATAACTATATTTCAGGCTACAAACTTATTGATCTACTCTTGTAAAAAAAACAAATAATGCAAAACAAACTTACTTGGCTGGCAGAAGTTAGGTCCAAATTCATGTCGGTTAGCATTCCTTTGAGAGGTATCAAGTGCACTTGTAGTTCTTGATGTCAAGGTGGATAAAGGGGATGCAGGTATTCTGGTTAAGATAAAGATATAATTAAATCAACATTACAGTTATTTTTAGAACAAGTAACTTATACACTTTAATTATTTCAGACTATTGTTCTCATCTTTGTTGTTATAGATGTTTTTTTCCAGGATGGAGAAAATATAAAGATGGAACAATCATTATGGAAAAAGAAAATGGACTGCAACAGTAGAGTATGCAGGAGAATGCTGAGATGAAAAAGAAAAAAAGCTGCAGAACTTGATGACATTGTCATAGAGGCATTAACAGCCTTAGATAACTTTGGGATTGATAAGGTTACTGAAGTGAAAAAGTATGCAATAGTGGCAAAATACCAGAAGATTAAGTAGTTTAATTTTCATAATGCTGCCAAAGAATCTAGGTATTAATGAATACAAACTTTATCCAACAATCAGCAATAATTAGAATTCTAATGAGTAAAGCTCATTGCAGAATTAGATGAGAAATAGAAAAAAATCATTTTGCTTTATTCAAAATGCTAACCCCAGAACTGCTATTTTCATCATCTGTCTATATTTTTGAGATGAGCTATTGTAACTATTTATACTAATTACATTGTTTGGACTATTTTCCTCATCTTTGTACACTCCTGCTTTCTTCAGGTGATATATGCCCACCAAAACATATGGACCAGTGGATAAAAGTGTTGGTAGAAGTAATCTAGTGACTTGACTGAAAGAGTTGTGAGTTCAATACCTGGCCACAGCAGAGGTGAACAAAAACTTGAAGAGTTGAGTTACTAAAAGGAAATAACTGAAACTGAGATATCCAGAAAAGGCATGGCATGTGGAAATAGAACAATCGACCCCAGTGAACTAAATAAAGGGTTTGATTCGAAATTCTAATGCATTCATCTGAAGAAGGCCAATGGCTGAAACGTGAATATGACAACAATCTGAACAATGTAAATAGTGTAAATATGCAATTTTCATGTTCAAAATGCTGCCAGAATTACCAATAGAAATAAAGACAGATGTGTACCTGTGTTTCATTGATCATACAAAGGCATTTGGTAAATTAGAATACAAAGAACATCTTAAAATGTAAGAAAAGCTTGATCTAAATGGAAAGGAGATATGAACAATCTGCATTTTGTATTGGAAGCAAATGGTTTACATGTGAATAGAGAATGAATTTAGTAGGATAAAGTACACCAAAATCTCTTCTTTTTTTTTTGGAGGTGGGATACAAGATTCTAATATAACTATAAAACAGACATATTAAAAGCATTATAACTGGGGAATGAAGAGCAAAGAAAAAGAAGAAACAAAATAGACCAAAATAGAAAGAGTAGTATGACAAGATGTGTTTTCTATCTAGATTTATTTAAGAGAATTAATGTACCAACCTGGACTTATTATTTACAAAGATAGCCTTAATGACATTGGCTACACAGATGACACTGTGTTGATGAGAGATTTAAAAGGAAAACTGAGAGGACTATTAAACATGGTAGTTGATGAAAGCAAGAAGAAAGAACTAGACATGAATGGTCATGGATAAAAGGGTCATCCCAAGATGTGAATTACACATTGGGGATATACAAATCGAGTTGGTGTGGAAATTCAAATATCCAGTCAGTGAGACTGCATAGGAAACTGAGTAAGATATTTGAGGAATCAAAAAAGAACATTAGGAATGAATGCTGGACTATGCGATGCTTACCCTCTATGAATGTTGGACAATTCTGTCACAAATGAAGAAGACTTGAAATGACATAACTGTTGTGTGGGAACCTACCACCCCTCTTGAAGATGAACTCGTCTACAAACAAGGACGTTAAATGAGTGGCATGTAAAAAGACAGTGTCGAGAAAGTTCTGGGCTGAGTTAGTTAGAGACTACTCAGGCGATATCTGTACCAACTTACCAACCGAATAAACCCCATTTTATTGTTACATGTTATTTGGCGTTTGTCTTTATTAACCCCAAATTAACATCATAACAATAACTGTGGTTTTACCAATGAATATTGAGAGTACTATAGACAGAGTATGTGACATATTAAATTTTAAGAACAGGAACCACAAAAAACTGTTGCTATGTAAAAGAAACGGCTGAAGTTTTGGAGATACATTGAGGAAAGAAAGTTTAGAGAATACATTGAATTAAAGAGAAGCAGAAGAAAGCAGTGAGTAACCTACTTGAAAAATTTGAGCAAATGGATGACAGAACAAGTACCAAAGAAAGAGGTGTGATGATAAAGAAATATTTAGTTGAGAGAAATAAATGATAGGAAGTTGTGGTAAATTATGATCGTCCACATCTTGAAGGAACATAGCAAAGCAAAGAGAGAACGAGACATTTAGGTCCAAATCAAAGTTTTTCAATTATTATATTCACTATATTTGTCCAAATGTTAATGTTGGAGTCTGTGGAGAGCCATGATCATCCACGTCCTAAAGGTGGCACACACAGAGAAAAAAAACAAGTTTGAGCAAAGAGACGGAGAAAGACAAAGCAGGGTCATAAAGGAATATTTTTTGCCGAGAACAACAAAAGAAAAGATGGGAAAATCCATGATTGCCCGCATCCTGAAAAAATATAGAAAAAACGAGTAAAACTTAGATTCTTATTTTGTGTGTGAGTTTTTGAAGATCGTCATCGTAAACTGAATTCCCTTTCATGCTAAAGAAAATTAATTTCATAAAAACGGAGTGTACAATTTCAAACTCGATTAGTCAAAAAGCGTAAGAATTAAGGAAAAATATTTTTCAAAAACACAAAAGGTTAAAAAGTAAAAACTAAAAGGGAAATACGTCCTTGCGTTTTTTCCTTTATTCAAATCAGAACATAATTTTGTTTCTTCAAACTAAGCTATACAGTAATATTTGAAAAAGTGAACACAAGCATAAAATGTATATTCATGAATAAATTTCTATTGTAACTTACTTTCCAAGGCAAACGAATGCCCCTGCATTAGGTGAAAAACAATTTTGCAGACGACGAAATAACATTCGGCCAGCCATGTTTGTTTCTGTTTGTGATGATAACCCCGCACAAAATTACGTAGTTTTGCCTTTAAAAATACACTTTATTATTTTAACTTAAATTTCCAACGTATTAAAAAAATTAAATTTATTTGAAGCTTATCGATTACTTTTTAAAATTATTTCATTGTTTGTGAAGTTGCAACATACAAAAACGTAACCACATGTATGTTGCTGTACGGTTGTAGCTGCTAAGCTTCTTAAACTGATAAAGACTGAGCTTTTTTTTTCTTTTCTTTTTTAATATCATGATAGGTAATTCGGTAATAGTAAACCGTTGCCCACAAAAATAAATTGCTGTTCATATATCAGTCTTATTCATGGTATTCTTCTAAAATCTGCAGTAAGAAGAGACTCATATAGAAAATAAATATTTTCTAATAATTTTTTTGTTGCATAAAAATATATTATGAATTTTAAAAAAAGGATCATAAACATATTTTGGAAACAATGTTCAATTAAAAGTAAACAATAAAAAGTAAACAAAGTAGCAAATGTTGCTGATAATGGTACATAAAGATAAAGAATGAGGAGAGGGAGAATATACAAACAAAAAGTATTAAAAAATGAAGTGTGAGCAGAGATAATGAATGAACCTCTGCTGAAGAATTTAACGTGAATAGAATGCATAATGACAATGTACATATTTTGTTATTCTTAATTTTGTATCCAAAAGCGACGTTGGGCGAGTGTGGATAGAAGCTAAACTTTGTAAGATTGACAGTTTGACACGGTATCATACATCATACAATAAAAGTTTCTAAAAATCGTGTTTTTTTTGTACTTAAAGGCTTCCGTATCCACAAGCAATTATTTGTCGGCTTATCGTAATTTGTAAGCTTCAAGTAAACAGTTTTCAGGTTTTATTATAGGTTTAGTTTTCTTATATAATAAAGTAAATTATTTTCATGGCTTAACATACCTTAAACTTCAGGGAAAATATATACATTAAAAAATGAATACTGATAGCTTATTAATTATTATTACAGTTTTTTTTATTAGCTCGAAGCGTCGAGAAAAAGTTCAGATAATTAGTCCAACTCCAAACACAAACTGAAGCATGAAACAACTTTTTAATACAACTGAAACTTTTAATTCTGGTCAATAATATTTTTAAGCGTGAAATATGGTTTAAAGTAAACTTGAGAATTTGCTAAAGATGACAAACTAAAAACTAAAATTAACTGATGCTTAAAAAAAAGTGTATCCTGGGATAGAAACCAGGATGCTGTAAGCGGAAGCCCAATTATTAACAGTTCTCATTGAACAGAAAGAAAACTAGTTCATTACAATTGCTAATTTTTTAATTAACCCATTAAAAGACATTTTGCGAAAATTCAACTTAAAAAAAGGTTTAAAAAATAATAAATAAAAGAAAATGAAGTGTTAAATTTTGATTCATAGAATTTACTTAGGTTGTCTTTCAGATTATTGTTTTTGTGACATATCGTAAAAAAATTAGAAAAATTAAAAATATCAAGTTGTGTCTCATGTTCAGTTCAGTGTTTCTCAACCATAAAGCAACGACACACCAAATGAAAATATCAAGGCAAACTTTGCAAAACTTTTCAAGAGTATATTTAATAAATGTTAAGAAATAAAATCATAGATTAAAAAAATACATACACAAATATGAACTTACTTTATTTCAATGTTTCTTTTCAACTATTTGTGCAGTTTATTTAAAATACTAAGTAGCTAAGCTTTACCATTACTACACACACACACACACACACACACACACACACACACTCACACACACACACTCACACACACATGCCGTTACAATATTTTGCGGCACAGTAGCGTGTTGCGGCACGGCGGTTGAAAATCACTGAGTTTACTGTACAGGCTAATGAATAAAGAGTAAAGAAAGACGTAACATGAGTCATATGTTATCGAAAAATGCTTGAAAAAAAGGCAAATGTTAAACTGAAAAAATGTATTGTTTAGGCATTGCTTTAAAAAATATTGCTTTTTTATTATTTCAAATATTTTAGTGGATGATCGTGTTTGAGTAAACGCCCTGTTTTTTTAAACAATGTACATTACGTCTACCTGCCTACTCAATCGAGAAAACTTAATAAAAAAAAAAGTACTCTAAAGCAGGCTGGATTAGCCGATGGTTTCTCCTACAAAGGGGCACACAGGTTCAATCCCTACCTGTGAGTACATTTTCTTTGTTAGGTTTTCTTGAATGCGCATGCCTGTATACGTAATACACATTGTTTAAAAACGGGACGTCTACTCAAACACGGGTATCCACTAAAAATAACGTTTGAAGTAATAAAAATATGTCAGATTAAAAAGAAAACAGTGGTTTTTAGATACTGCTTTCCACATCACTCTTGATTTTCATTTTCAATCTTGACCTTCATATCTTTTCTTTCTCTTCTAGTAATTATAACTATAAAAAATCTTATCATTAAAAATTATGGCTAATTACTAAATTTTTTTCATGCACCAACATTACTGCAGATTTTAAGTAACACCGAGTTTCCATGCAACATGACACATTTTTTCTATAGTCTTGCTTACATTCAGGAAAATGCGACATTAGTTCCAGTTAAATGAGTATTTTTTACATTTATTCATAGCTATTTTCAATACTATTTCAATTATTTTGTTTTGAATAACAAAAATTAAAACAAAGAATAATATTCATAGGAATCAAAATTACAATAAAAATGAAATAAACATGAATATATGTAGCGGAAGTAGATTACTTCCCTTAGACATTTAGTCACATGAATATTGTCGCGTGGTATCTGCATATATATCAGGGCGTTTTCAAAAATTTTTCTTTTCCCATTCTTCTGTTCCCTGAACAGCTGCTGCCCAGCATATAACTAATTTTTCCACAACAGTTAAGTACTTACAAGCTTTCTCTCTTTCTCTCTCACACGCGCACACAGACATACGCAAACACTTACTCACTGTTTCCAAAAATTGTTATTTTTTGGGAAATACAATGTTATTTTAAAAATGTTTCATTTGTTCGTCATTTGCATGTTAACTTTTGGTTGCCACTGCTTTTATTTGAGCTAGAAGTAATGACCATATATATATATATATATATATATATATATATATATATATATATATATATAATAAAATATACTTTTAAGGTATGCTATATTCATGGGTTAAAATGATCAATATCAGGTATAAAGCGTATGTAAATATAAAAGTGGACATTGAAATCAACACCCAGAGACGTCAGTCTGTTTCATACTTAAACGCAATTGTCATTTCATAACAACAATGTTGACAACTAAGTAAAAGAGGAATGCCGTTCTTCGAAGTGTCAAAGATAATTTGTAGAGTCTACTGAAATAAAGTTTGGGAAAACAAATGTACGTGTATGTATGGATGTGTGAGCGCGTTCGCAATATGCGTAGATATGAATATATGTAGGTATGTGTGTGCGTGTGCTCCTGTGTGTGGGCGTATATACTTATAGATAGAAGTAACTCACTAAGGATGTTTCTTTTTCTGTATTCGACGTACTTGGGTGTTTGGGTAAGTATTTTATCTCACATAAGCTGATCTCTCTGTATAGTGCAAATACTCGAATGAAAAGGCTTTCTTCGGCGTGGTATTAGTAAATGAATGCATCGTCTCTGTGTGTCTGCTTTGGGTACTGCACATGTGGCTAATAGCGCGTTGAGAAATATAGGAACTACCTCTGCCTGGCTGTCTTCCCACTGGGAAATATACATGTCACCGTTTCCCCGTTGGGAAATATGTCCTCTCCAGAGACATAGAAATTCGGTCTGCTCGAATTCCTGTTGAGAAATATAAATATGGCCACACCACATGGCCTCGCCACTTTCCTGTTGTGAGAAATATGGTTTCTACAGAAACATAAAAGTCAGTTTGAATTTCCGTTGGGAATTATTACAAGTAAGACCCTGTGTCTCTGCGACCTTTTCATACTGTTTGTTGTTGTATATGTGCTATATTTTCTCTGTGTGGGGTAAGTGTAAATATTTGTATATAATTTTGTGCATGATTTAGCAGTATAAAGATCTCTTTGTGAACAAAGCATGTTTGTATTTCATTTTCTTTCAGTTATTTTGTTCCATCCGTGTATTAAGGTTTTCCTATATCATGGATATAATAATGCCCATAAAGAATTATAGGCTCTCTCTTTTTTTAATGATTTCATCCCAAGCAAGGCAATAAAGGCACTAGGGCGCAGAGGTTACCGAGTGTTAGAGAATATGATAAAAAACTAATATTAAGGAGAGAGTACAATAAAGGAATAAGAATTAAAACAGAATATATTGCATTTAAAATTTTGAAGATCAAAGTTGACTGGGAAACAAGAAGCCGGAAGATAGTCCTACAAGCGAGAAGTGCGATGTAAGAAACTGTTAGCATATAACTTACGGTTACATCTAGCCATTTCAACTGTAAATTGATGTGACCTTGCTGCCAATCTAGTAATGTGATTAAATTCATAAAGTCTAGGTACCATAGAAGAAAATTCATCAGAACAATTACCATGAAAGTATTTATAGAAAAGACACAGGGAAGTCGAAGTCGAAGTTGAAGTTGGAATTGGAGCTGGGTGAAGTGGTTGACAAGCAGTCGACCAGAAAGAGAGAGAGAGGGGGGCAATGAGAATGAAAGCGTCCGCTTGCTGCTGTAATAAGGGAGGAAGTGAACTCAAGTTATCTGCAATATTGGCGCAATACTGCCAGTGAGCCCCCCTTATATCCTGATAGTGAAATAATTACGGCAACTACTAAGAACAAGAAGGGTGAACCCGAAAACTACTTCTCTCCTTTCAGAATGCTTTGCAATATTTGTTTTTTTTTTCTGGACTTTATTTCATATAGACTACTTTCTTGTAAAAAAAGCATTATTCTTTTTGTACCAGTTTCTTCCTTATATACATATACATAAATATTTCTTTGGACTCGAGTCGACTTGTTCATATTTGATTTTTCTGCTTGGCCCGATTCTCGCCC